AGGTCCAAGGCGAAGCTAGCTTCTGGTGGAACTTGGGACCCTAAGAGCAATGCTTTAGATTAAATATTCGGAGCTTACCAACAGTCATTTGACAATTACAAAACAGGAACAGAGTCAACATGGACCTTTAAAGCATCAGAGGTGGGATCAAGTGCCATTTAGGAGTGAGCATCCCCTGCCGACCGGTCACACCCGCTGTGATATCGGGAGAATCCGTCGACAATTCTTTGTGGATAGAATGGTCTAACAATTAGAATGAAAAAAGTATTTGACTCAAAAACTTACCTCGTTTTAGATATGTACCATATCGATATAAGAATGAAAATAACCATTGTTAATTGACAATACGTCGTCAGTATAATAAATGCATATAGATGATGAAATGGAAGTCAAGGCAATTTAAGTGTTTTCTTCTTTTCGCATTGAACAAGATTTTGAACAAATTCTGCTTCATATGAATACAAAAATAGGTCTGATAATAACGCGCGCAGGTGGTATTCATGGGAATTCCTATAGATTATTGGAAGACTTGGTCTACAAAAGTCACATAGAATAAACTGGGATTTAAAAAACTGTAGTACTGGGGTAGGTACAACGCAGTAAATACCTTCCTTGATTGCATTGAGAGAAAATTTATATTGTAGCCAATCCAGGTGCATTCAACGAACAGTCTGGACCGTGTGTAATACAAGTATTCACTTCATTAATTTACCAGGACAAATAAAATTTCAAATTGGCATAAGGTTCCCATACATTTTATTCACAACTGCGTTCAAGAGCTGGAATAAAGTTACCTATAGTTTTAGTGGCCTCTGTTATCCCTATACGCAGAGCTAGATGTTCTTCCAACTTCGCAAAGCTATCGAATGATTGCAGATTGTGTCACTGTGAAATACCATATCTTTATCAAGCATTTGTTAGGCCATCATTCTGCAATTCAAGTATTGTCTGTTGTGTATTCATCATTGCCTTCTCAAAGAAATCAGCTGCAGAATTAATTAAGGTCACATGAAACAGGATCTTATATTCCTAATAGATGTTGACCTGTCTATCACTTTCGTCATGCAGTATTGTTAGCAAAGAGCTCCTCAATATTCTTATTATAAATAAGCTTTATACTTCCAAAGTGCTGGAAAATAGTTTTGGACCTGTTCTCCTTCCAAGTTCATTAATATAAGTCCTCATTCTACATTACCGTGTTTGCAAAGACCTTCCTGGTGATCGTAGATCGGACATTTTATCGATAATTTAGAATTCTTTGCATCGTCCTGGTTGAAGCACTCAGTACAGTACATATTCATCCAAGATGATCCTCTATCCTTACATACCTAATACTCCAGTAAAATTAAAGTTCATGGATTGATTAAGGATGCAGAATTAAGTTGAATGCTGTTATCTATATTGACGTCAATGTCAGTTCCACAGATCACAGTTATCTATGCAGTGTCCGCCAAAATATGTACATGTAAATGTATGAAGTCAATCGTTTGATTCAAAATCAAATAGGATGGATTGGGGTAGTTTCTGCATTCCCGTAAAAAAGGGAGAGAAAAGGCTTTTAAAATATTGTTCAAAATTTATTCTTTTCGATGAGAAAACATCTAAAACTGAAGTTTAATTTAAATTAATACTACGACGATGGAGTCATGGCAGGATGACAGTGATGCTACGGTGCGATAGCACGATAGTTATGATGCAATGGCACAACAATGCGATGACGACGGTTCGATGGCAAGATGGAGAGTTAGTGAATTCGAATTTCCATTCATCTTTACCGTAATGAAGCACCATCGTCATCTTGTCATCGATCGCTATTGCTACATCGCGTCCCCGTGCTATCACCTTCCATTGCATTGTAACGCAATCACATCATTGTCTTCGCGCTTTCACTGCGTCGTCATCGCACTATCGTTTCATCGTCATCGCACCCTCGATATGGTAATGCAACTTTCTATAAAAACAAAAGAATAAAGCAACGGCGCATTATGCCATTTACTGTTACTTGTACATCAGTATCTTGTGGATTTATTTTTATTAAACCTAATTTATATGGTTATCAAATAAGTTTAAAATCACACGACAAACACTGCTGGGATAACAAAGAGGACACAATGGCGTTATTATTTTTCAATATAGTTTCTGAAAACAAATAACTACACTTCGTTTGCCTTTATTTCCCATTAAAGTATTCCATATACTTAATTTTGAATTAAACGACTAACGCCGTGTTATGTATTTTTACTGAAAAATGTATGGCGTCCCTTTCACGTGAAATATAAATCATTCCTAACAGTTAGAGAGTACAGTATGTCATAATTGTATATCTCTGCCATTATAGAATACCAACGTTATTTTAAAGAAGAAAATAAAATAAGATTAAATAAATACCCACGGGAAAAAAGTAGCATGAAAATTTTTATTCAAAGCGCTTTATATGTTTTAAAAAATCGTTTTTGAGCTTTTTTTGCAAGATGGATGTAAACAACACTGGTGATGTAGTATCTGTTGTCTCACTGTGATAAATTAAAAAGGTCTTGTATGTCAAAACTCAATGAAACTAAAGGAAAATATACTCAAAATTAAAAATCTGTAACTTTTTTTCATGTTTCAGTGAGAGAATTTTTTATATCCACAACACCGATAAACTCTGTGTCAGGCATCTTGTGTGTGAAATGTGTTTCCGTATAATTTGATTTATTTACAAATTGTTCATGTTTGTCGTGTTGATGTGGAATTATTATAAATTCCCGTGAAACACTTGTATGGAAGTCGGGGCCTTCGTCTCTTCGTATTTTAATAATCCGCTCTTTCTCTACAGATGGATCCTTTGGAAAAGAGTGGAAGGATGTAGCTGTACTCCGACGACTGACCTCGTCACAAAGCGGCACACAGCAATAAGCCGCGGAGCCCGTTTTCGCATGGTAGTCCATTTTCAGCGTCTGCTCGGACATGTGCTTTTTGTCAGGTCAGCGCTACGAACTTTAGTGCGTGCGTGAATAGAGTCTTGCCCATAGCGTTTTAACCGAAATTTCAAAACCTTATTAAACATCCATAAGTCACTTCTTATCATATTCCATATAAAAATGTAAGAATTCTGGCAACCAGGTTTTCTTTGAAAAACGCCATATTCTAACCCATTTGGTCCAAAGTGAAAAGGAAAATTTCAAAATATTTTTGCATGTTCAAGCCACCTCCAAAAGATGAGTTGGTCATTCCTTAAAATGTAAGTGTAGTTTGAGGAAGAAGCATATTTTAAAGACCTAAAGGAAATGGCCATAGAAATGCATTAGATTTATGGGAAGAAGAGTGTCGCAGACGGATGGACGCACTCGCTACACCTCAGCCGATTCGTACCCCCTCTTTGATATTATCTGTCGAATAGGGCAAACTAGGGTATCTACAATATGCCATAACTTTTTTGAGAAAGTGTGGGTAAAAAAAAAATAGCGGTCCACGGGCCACAACTCATACCCAAGCAACATTTGTTTTAGGTGATTAATCTTATTTGTAAATTTAATTCGGGCCTTTAAATTAATTTGATTCATTGCTTTAATGCAGTATATAATCGTAGTATATACCTTTGTTGTTCTTGATAATTTTGTTTTTCCTTATGAGAAAAATTCTGAGTTGGAACAAAGGAATAGTTCTTGGATCTGCGCAAATTTTGAACAAAACTAAGTTCTAAGACGTTACCTGAAATGACTTAAAATAAACTAACTTCAATTTACATTACATGCCCATCATCATGACACATCTTTAGTTAAATTTAATTGATTATTTTACAAAACAGCATTTACTTATGAATTCCTTTTCTTGTTTTTAGGTCCAACCTTAATTCCTCGTACATTTTTTTTTTGGAGCGAGGAGAGTTTTATCTATATCCTATGATTAATCTGCCTACTTAATTCAATTTGAATTAATCTAAATGTTGGAAGACATCTGCGGATCAATTGTCCCAAAAATATCCCACATCAATCTATAAGTTGTATCTTTTAAACAAGTGTTTTGCGTAAGTCCAAATAGCTTAATGTTCTGAGAATGTTGAACTTTTTTTTATTGAAATGATTGTATACCGGTATATGCAATGTTCACATAGCGTCTTATGAAAAAGTAAAGATGTAAGATTTATTCTGAATATAAAGTATTGGCCATTTTATGAAAAATCAACGGGGGAATTTTAGTGTTTTCCTGCTAAAATCTATGTAGATGAAAATGAATAGGCCATTATAAACATTAAGGAAACTAACATCTTGTTACAGGAAAGCTTCAATTCAATTATAATTTTATACCCTTATAGAGCGATCTGTCATTTGATGTGACGAAATCAACAGAAATCTACGGTAAAATCAAATGACACAAAATATACATGTACAGTAAAAATCTTTCCAACGTTATATATTACACCGAGATCATATCGTATGTATATTCTAAATGTAGGTAAACAATAATTATTTCTGTTGCAATATATTTTGTCCTGGAAAAATATGAAAGGAAAAAAAATAATAAATAGGTATCCCTTTAAACGATTCAATTTTCTTTTCTATTTTTCTATTTCCTTGCCATTTTTTTTTTCTTTAGTGGTTTATTAGAGCTTCCTTAATAAAATTCATAAGGAAGTGTCTCTTTCATTGTGTATTTAGGGTTGTGTTCCCGGAAATTCAGATATCAGAAGACATAAAATAAGGGGAAAATACATCAGAAACATTCCAAAGAATTGATACTCTAATTTGTAATGAAGAGTTTAAAGTCAGTCACTGAGTCAGCGTTTTCACACAGACTTATTTGATATGATCAGTAATTTTATATCTGAAACCGGTCCGCATTTAGAAATTCATACGTGTTAAAGAAACATTGTCTTTCTTTTTTTTAAACAAAATAAATAATCTCTGAAAATCCACAAGAAATGTTGAACAGGAAAATTATCTGTCTACTCGAATATCATAATGATTGAATTAACAAATAACAACTAAATAAAGTCTATTCTGATTGGTAATTATTTTCATGTTTGATCCAATCAGATTTATTCTTGCAAAGATTGTTAGGACCGACCGCTAAGATGGCGGACAAAACGGACAATTTTTAAACTTGAAAATTTAATATCGTGTTTTTACTTGTTAGCATTGTATTTAATCATGTTAAACACCGGGTAGATCTACTTTAATAGTTCCAGATGTTGACTCTGTGTAATTATTATGTATAAAAAAAAATTGGAAGCTTGCTATTGGGAAAGCAATTTGCAATATTAGCACTTTTTCAGGGCGATCAATAACCAGCTCTTCAAGTTAGTGCAAATTAGCAGGAGCTTACGTAGAGTTTGGAATGGTTTGTATTTGTACCATTAAACTTTTATTTAACCTGGTTGTTAATATATTGTTTTAAAGCCTATATTTATCAGTGGACATCCACAGATGTAACTGTTTTGCTTGATTAAGCTACATAGCTTGAAATAGTTAAACAAGCCATTCGAAATGGCTTTAATTTTCAATTAAATATATAAATTTTCCAATTTATTTCATATTTGACATGAAATAAACACTTCCAAAAAGTTGCAAGTATGTGACTACTCATATTTGTACCAAGGACAGATTAAAAAAAAAAGGGGGGGGCAATCAAATCGAAAACAACTTTGATAATTCTGCTTTTGTTGAGTAAAATTGAATAATAAAAACTATATTTAAAAAAATATTAAACCACATAGATAACATGGTTTTCCTATGACACATTTTGCCTCTGAGTTATTCCTCTTGGCCGCCATCTTGTGTCCAAGGGCATATTATTTAATTTTACTCCAATAAGCAACCAATTTCAAACATGCTTGCCAGAAATATATGAGGAAAAATATAATCTTGAAATTATGAATTAAAAGAGGCTTTTTAACAAACATATTCATATTCATATTCTTTACCTCAGTACCCAGTATAACAAATTGAACATGGCTGAATAATGAATGGATCTGGGAATGTTGACCTACAGTATGGCATCTATTCGTCTATTCTGCAATTTTTCTTTACTTTATTCTTATTTTATAAGGAGGAGAATGTAACACAAGGATTTACAAATCATGAAGCCCTGAGAATCCTGAAGAATGAATTGTCAAAAGAAATAGAGCAGCATGAAGAAAAGGAAAAACAACAGCCATTTGGATCCCACTTTGAGTCATTAAAGCTTTCTAAGATTGAATCCACCTTCCACTGGAGTGGATGCTTCATTGTAGCAACAATAGCCATATTGTTACTGGTCACTTTTGGGATAAGTACACAGAGGTAATTCTTATGTTCATTTATATTGAGTGTTTAATTTAGTTTGAATCAATTAAATTTGTTTACCACTGTGTGAAAAAAGAAAAAAAAATCTTGAATTTCAAATTGTATGTACCCTATATGAAAATTAAAAATTGACAAGGAAGATTCTTTTTTTTCTGGTTACAAAATGTTCATTTATTTATATTTCTTCATATATTAACTTGAACTTAGAACAAAATTTTCTTATTGTAATTTTAATTGAAATTGACTACCATTCTGTTTTGATTTTTTTTGTTTTGTAGCCCTGACAATGGATTTGGATGGTATATAGTTGAATTTGTTATATGTCTTTTTACCATTATTATAAACATTTGGTTTTCTGTGTGGAATACTCGACTACATAAAAGGGAATTCATCTGTTTATCAAAACTAGTCGTCAAGCAGATAGAAGGTACATTGAGAATCTATTTCTTACGAGTTTTTCAATACTGTTTTTAACATTTATGACATACATAATTTTATATTTATAATTTATGTCTTATAATTTATTTTTTAATTTGTATTGGGGGGGGGGGGGGGTCTTTGTACTCACTGCATTTCATTTCCGGAATTCTGCATAGCATTTCCAACATTTTTTATTTCATTTCCGACATTTATTTTTTCATTTTCAACATAATTTTCTATTCATTTCTGGAATTTACCTGTCCAGCAATTTAATGTTTTCCAAGTAAGTGAAAATGGAATTTTAAAAGTATTTGTTGCAAAATATTGATAAAAAGAAATATAAAACTCGATCTGTTTATTGATATAAAGTATAAAACTCCATCTACTGGGTATTCATATATGCATACATGTAGCACTATGTTATGGCATATAAAAGAATTCACTGAGCATACAACTTTTTCATCACATTCAATGTGCACTAAATTAAATGTCAGTGACAGCACCAAACTTATGTCCAAGGCACTTGATGTACTCTAATTGAGTTTTTACTCCCTTTGATAACGCATTATACTGCTCTCCACAGAACTTAAATTTTTTTCATCGATAAAGTCTTCAAATCTGTTACTAAAGGTATTACATGTATCTGAAAAATGTCAGAAATGAAAACAAAAAAATGTCAGAAATGAAAACTTAAAAATGTTGGAGATGAAAAGTTGATAATTACGAAAAATTCCAGAAATGAAATGCAGCCCTTTGTACTATTTTTAGTGACAAGGGCATGCCCAAAAATTCATTAAATTAAATTGATTTTCTTTTTAACTCAAAATGAAGACTGCCTATCCAAGACAAACTGGAGTATAACAGATTTCCCACCAGTTCATTCACCCATCTCTCCCTGCATTTCCTTACAATGGACAATCAGAGATGGAGAGAATACCAATGTTCCTGTTCCTCTCCTGGTCAAAGGGGACATAATCCTGCTAAGGCCAGGACAAAGAGTTCCAGCAAAATGTGTGATTTTGAGAGAGGTTAAGTATTATTTTATCACATTGAAATCAGTTAAAAATACTTCTCTTTCTAGGTATTTGATATTTATACCCATATGATATATATATTTTATTTTTTCATTTAAGTAATTGATTTAATAGCCAACCAAGTTATATTCTTGTGAATGAGGTGGGTTGGGGCAGTTTATGCTTAAAAACAATCCTACTTAAAGTGTAAGGCTACAAATCATTCCAAACTGTACATTGAATTAAAGAGTGAGTGGGAGAAATATGCTTGTCTAGTTATGCTCCATATAAATTTCTTATCACTGTGATTTCGTATAGTTTATGACAGGATGCTTAAAACAGTATTTTTTTAATTATTAATGTGACAAATTTTTTATTATCAAAATATGGAATTTTTGTTATATTGACAAATATTTTACATCATATATGTAGATTTGAGCATGTGCATTTCTACAACCACCTGGTACTAGTAGAGAAAGGAAAATTGAAATAATTGTGTTGTATCTTTTAACAGAACTCAGTTGGGGATAAGATTCTGATGGAGGGGGAACATTGAAATAATTGTGTTGTATCTTTTAACAGAACTCAGTTGGGGATAAGATTCTGATGGAGGGGGATATTTTCGTCCAAGAGAAGGAAATGGAGAAAAGGAGATTTAGTGCAGATGCACCCCAGAGTAAAGTTCCAGTATCTGTGACTCAATTTAAGCTTCTTGAGACTGCTTATGTCTCACAACTAAGGTAAAAATAAAATTTTTATTATTTCACAAGCAACAAAGGTTGTATTAAGATAACTAAAGCATAGAAAGATTTCTTCTTTTAATTTTGAGTGAGTTTAATTTCAATATTTGATAAAGTTGGGCAAATAATTTGAATACTGTAAATGTATTATATTTAGCGTGTACAGTATTTAATGGAAATTAAATTTTTAGAAAGTTAGTGAGGATTTGATTTAGTACATATCTGAATGTTCTTATTAATGTACAGTGGACCTTCAGATATGTAAAATTCAAGGTGCAATTAACTGGAAAATAATGAAAATTTTTTAAACGTTATTTTGTCTTGTTTAACTGGTAATTCAGGTATCCAGACGCTTCACATATACGGACAAATTAACTAGGAACCAAAGTGTCCGGATAAACGAGGCTCCACTGTATATATGTGCAAGTCACTTAGCCTTGTCCTTGAATTAGCCGAAGTTTCTGTCCGCCAAAAGCACTTACAAAAATACATAGCCAAATGTAATACCTTTACAGTATTTGTACTTAAACATTTGTAATCTTTAGAAAGAATGTTTTCGGGGCAAGTTACTACACTAGTTGATATTAAACTATAATTTGTACATTACTAGATAAAAGTGAATTGAGAAACATTTGTTGGATTTCAGGAAAATGTTAAGCAATAAAGTGAAGCATCCTGTTAGCTCAACAGAAAATGAGAGATACAACATTGCCTGTGTTTGGCTGGAGAGGAGACTGCTGCCATTTGTTGCTGTGAGTAAGGAAGATCAATTTTCTTTCTTTTATGATGTAGGAGTTATCTCTCTTTGCACAATTATGTTTTATTGTGTTGTAGATTTTACTTGTGGTTGTGAATGTCTTGAGAACCATGTACCTCGCGGGACACGTCGGACATTGGGCAGAAACAGTCATCATATTACCTGTGAGTTTATAATTTTTTTTCATTTTGATTTCAAAAAGCAGTGTCTTGTTTAAATTCAGTATTTGAAGGGATTTTCACCCTTTTCATATTACAAGTGATTTAAGGGTCCTCCACACCATGTGACTTGTGACATATAAGAAAAAAAACTTTTACTTTTTTTTACTAACGATTTGTGAATTGTTAAACGCTTTAGAGATAAAGGTTTTGTTAAGGGAAAAGTATGCAGTACACTGAGAGCGACACCCTAATCATAAACATTGAACACATGACTGATAGAAAAAGATGTCCTTTTTAAAGCATGAAAAGAGCTTTCGATAGTAATGTTCTGTTTTAATTTGATGAGTTTTAAAAGTTGCAATATTTGATAAAGTTGGTCTAATTTCAATATAACTTGGCACATATTTGTACACTAAGATACATAATTCTGTGTATCGGAATGTTTTTGGTGTTGCCGTGGTTACTAAAAATAGAAATTTCTGTGAAATTCTTTTTTTGTACATTTCTGATTTGTAAAGTGACACACAAGTAGATAACATATATATTGTGTATATCAGTTTTTGAAAATGTTGTGGCTAAAAATAAATCTGTGAAATTGTTTCAAAATGCTATCCTGTTAGCTGATTTCAATATAATTTGGCACACAATAGACTAGATAAAATACATTCTGTGTTTGGTTTTTGATTTAGAGAACGGTGTTGCCGTGGTTTGTAAAAATGTAAGTATTGTAAAATTGTTCAAAATTTTCTCAGTTTTTCATTTCAATATAACTTGGCACACAAGTTATCTCTCTTTGTACATTGTTTTCCTTGGTTTGTAGATTTTACTTGTGGTGGTTAATGTCTTGAGAACCATGTATCTTGCGGGACATGTTGGACATTGGGCAGAGACCGTCATCATATTACCTGTGAGTTTATATAGAGGTTTGATTTTTATTTTTAAAAAAACAGTGCCTTGTTTGAATTCTGTATTTGAAGGGGATTTCACCTTTTTTAATTTAAACCTTTTGTATTACAACTGATTTTTAAAAATGCTTGCATACTAAAATATAGAGAATAATTCTATGTATATTTTAAGTTTATTTGAAGGAGATGCTGTTTTAATTTGAACCTCTTTAATTTCAGATAAATGCTATTTTACCTCTAAGCCCCCTTTTTCTGCCCATTATCTGGAGAATGGTGAATTACTATGGTCAGGCCAGGGTGTATGCTGCATTCACAGTTGCCAAGGACAAAAAGGTGATTTTTCTAAATTTCAAATTGAATTTTCATGTACATTTCAAAGCACACATGATTTTATATTTAAATTGATTTAATGTCAAGACAGAAAAAAAAAATAAAATACGAATTCTTTTGCATAGTTTTATAATTTAAGATATAATGAGGAAATAAAATACTTTTTTAAGTTTTATATTACTAAAATCAGAAATAACAAAAGAGTGTTAATGTTTAACAAGATTCTGTATATGAACAAAGTCATTGAGACTCGAGCTAAATAATTATTCATATGGATGTGAATTACACTACAGAATCTCAAAGCTTCAGATTTTACCAAGGCTCCATGAATAAGTTGCTTGTTGAGCAAGCATTTAATTTTTTCAATTTTTTGGTGTAAAATTCACTGATGTATACAAAACGAGTCTTCCTTGATTTTTTCTTAATGTGTATTTTAGAGAAAAGGAGTTCCCTTATTTTTTTCAAATATTGCTCATTTTCCTGATGTTTGTTACTGCTGTGGAAGCATTGAAAATGGGCAGAAAGTTGATCGTGCCTTAATTACCTACCCAGTCTACTAATTATAATGAAATAAGCTCTTTCTAAACAGAAACATAACTTGTGGAATGAAAAGAATGCAAAAGTACAAAAAGATGAATGACTATTTTTGAATGTTTAATAAAATAAATGCGATTTGCCGCAGCAATTTAAAATGATCTTGAAGATAAAATAAAAAACCTGCCTGCCTCATCTGATTTTCAAAAAGATGGCCTGAGAACCAACTTTTTTTTATGCTTGCTTTGCTACACCTCACTTTGACATATCCATGCCATACGAGATGTACAAGGGTTGTCACAGAAAAACACAAATAATTTTTATTCACCGTTATTTTTCTCAATTTCTATCTAAACTAACTTCTACTTGATAATAATCAATAGGTGCTTTGTGAGGACAGTTTTAGCAGTGACAGTGATATATCAGAAGACGAAGCTAAGGTGGACATACAGCTAGGACAAATCTTAAATCTGTACTGGGACATAGCTAATGGTCACGGCTCCGTTATCTCTCGACAGATCAATGTCGCTCAGACCCTAGGCTCTGTGTCGGTAAGTGGGGCTTCTCACTGCAATGTCTATGTAAATGTAGTTTCAAGTTTTCACTGTATTCTGGAGAGAAAAGGTGTATTATTTGGCTTCTTTTGTTATGGCAAAAAAATTTCAACATCAAAGTTTTGACGTAAGGGTTTTGTTTTTAGATGTTCTTTGATTTAATCAGGCAGAATTTTCAAAATAATGTATCCATATGGCAAAAAGTAGAAAAATTAATGTGAAAGAAGATATTTCTGTTCACTTCAGTCCAAATGACGTATATTAAAGCTATAATATGCATTACAATTTGTAGTGATGCCACACATTTTACAACTTAGATTTTTCTAAGTATAAAAACTTTGTCTTATACGGAAAGAATTTTTTATTTTTCAAGAATAATTTTTTTTTTGTAGGTATTACCAAACACCAGTCTGAATCAATGATGTTATATATAATACTTTTATTTATACTATTTATTTACTAATACTGAGTATACAGCATCATTCATGATAATAGATTCCAGTTTATGTCTCTCTCTCCACATAATTAGCATGAGTGAAAGTTTCAACTTCTTTTTCATATTCATGAGAGAGTGCTTTGCTATTTTTCATTCCAAATGTCAATGTTTGAAAATCTGGAGAATTTTATTCACCCAGATGAGTCATAGTTATATTATGATAGATCTGTGCCATCTTGCTCTTTTCCTCATAAACAAAAACATTGAATATACATGTATATCCCTTGATGAAAAATAATAATAATTTTTTTTAATCATTGAAAGCACAAAGAATTGATATCCTTATGAGCAAAATGTTCTTTTCTTCATCATTTTATATTATAGTCATTTTGTTGTGTGGATAAGAAAGGGATTCTATCATGGCCAAATCCTTCAGCAGAAAAGATATGTTTTCTGACCCCCGAATCTCAGAGAGAGACAGCCAATGAAGAGGAGGATCAAGGATTTTCTAATTCCTGTGACAAAATCAACCATCCACAAGAGGGAACTGAAAAACATACAAGTGAGTAGAATGACCTAAAGTTAACTTTGTTCATGGGCAAAGACACAAATAGCCATTTTGATAACAATTTTGAATTTACGAGGGGTTATCAAAAAGTTCGTGGACTAGCGCCATAAAATTAAAACCGCTTAGGGTACATCAATGAATTTTAAAAGATCTAGTAAGCATCATCTTTTCTATCTAAAGAATAAACCATAAATCTTAAATTTTATTTTTTAATAAATAAGTAATTTTTTTGTAAGCAGTGGTATGTCCAGGCGGCGCAACCTCGAACACGACGTTTTTGCAACCTATGTGTAACTGAGAAAACCTCTTTTGATATGAACATTTGACATCCAAAAATCCCGTTACTTCAGGTTTATGTTGGGACACAATTGTTCCATAAAATACGAAATTTTTACTTCAGTCTGGAAGTTCTATGAAAATTTATCATAAATTTTACATGAAGCGTCCAAACAAATAAGGCCTTGAAAATGACATCGTAAGGAGGGAGGGGTTTCCTTTTCCAACATTCTAGAAAGTTTTGCCGGAAAAACTTGTATATACCTAAGAAATGTTTAAACTGGCTACAGAGAAATATAATGCATCCAGAGTACTTGTCTTTTAATGTCAAAATAGATCAAGAGAGAAAAGGGATGCACAGTTAATGTCAAATTGTAGTCAAGGTGTGAAAAATCGATGAAGTCAAAAAATGACTTTGATCATGTGTTGTAGATATTGAACTCCCAAAAGCAAAATATGCTGGCACAATCAAGCGAGGATCTCTTCCAGTGTGTAAATCCAATTGGAATAATGTATTCATTGAAAGCTGCTGTGCATGACATTGTAAAGCCACATAAACAAGGCGGTTTAGGTTCTTACTCAGCTCTAGGGAATCTCATTAAAATAAGTGTATGAGGTAGAAGAAGCGGACATTGGAAAACGATGACGTTGTCGGACGTCATAACACCAAACGTCGACAGCGCCGGGTGATCATATAATATCGTTTTTATTAATTTGGCAAAAAATAAATGTATCAAGCTAAAATTTTCAACGTTTCTATATTTTTTGTTGTTTTATGTTCCATATAAATTTTGAAAGCACGGACTAAATAGTACTAATTTTATAGTCTCAGTCCACGAACTTTTTGATAACCCCTTGTATCTGTAATTTTATCAAGTTAACAACATACATGAAAATACTGTAAAAATGGTGTAAACTTTATTTAGGGGCATAGAAACTCATAGCCATTTTGATAACACTTTTGAATTTATATGTTTTTTTTTGTAATAATTACCAACAATACTTGAAAATTCTGTGATAATGGCATTCAAAAAAAATTTAAAAAGACATGCACAAGTTTTTTTTTTAATGTTTAAGTTTTACGAGATCTGTTACATTTTCAAACACTGAATATGAATTGAAAATGCTGGTGTGTTAATTTTGTTTTCTTAAATTTTTTTCTTTAGTTTTTTTTTTACTATAGTTTTTATTATCTTTTAACAATGTACAACAGATTCCCCACTTTTCTTAAATATTAAGGATAGATTTTAGTTCGTTTAATTTATCTTCAGATAAAAGAAGTTTCATAATATATCTGTCTGAAATTCCCCATATCATTCATGGAATTGTACCAAATGTTTAACATGAAAGATATAAAATTCAATTCTCTGTGTTTGGACTGAACAATTAAATGTCTGAAACCTTAATTTTTTTTACATTATATTTTTATTCCCCCTCCCCTCCCCACCTTCGAAGTAGGGAGGACATATTGCTGCTGTCTGTTGGTTGGTTCGTCTTTTGGTCCACCAAGTTTCCGTTCATTTTCTTCACAGTGGTTGCGCATACTGAAATGAAATTTGGTATACAGATTTATCATAAAAATGTCTAGGTGAAGTTTTGTTTTGGTACGATTGAGCAATTTTTGACCCTTGAGTTATACCCTTGGACTTAGAAAAATTCCAATTATTTTGGGGGAGGAGGCATAGCGTTTCAAAACCATCTCTTGATTCTTATCAAAAAAAAAAAAATAGTTACTTTCATTTAATTGCACCACTGAAATAATATTCATTACAAATCTTAAACCAAAAAGGAAAAAAAAAAAACTAAAAACAATGGAAAAATAATTATTGTCATCCATCAGTTTAATTTTAGTTTGAACATTTTGATACTGTACACCTAGGTATATATTCCCAACATGTACTTTTTGGAGTGTAATAAAAGAAAAGAAGATTATAGAATTTTTATTTTCATATATCTTTAAAAGTTAACTCTTTTTCCCCAGCACATGGAGCAGGTAGCAGTGTAGAAGTCCTTGACCTCACTCATGCTGCTATGGTAAGTTTATTTATTTGGGTTATCTCTCTTTGTATGTAGAAATTCTGTTCTATTGAATTAGTCAAGTACTTTGTAGAAGCAAGTGATATTATTTTTTATCAACATGGTAATTAATCTTGATTTAAGAAAAAGATTTTATTATTAACATTAGGTTAAAAGCATAGGACTAACATTTCACTTTTATTGATTTTATATGGCTGTATCACCTAAAGTGTACTCAGGATCATAAGAGTTAATTTAATGTAATTGAGGCTTTGGAATTGACAATAACTTTGATAAACTTTCTTTTTCAAATATACACTGTAGGTTAAGAATATGAAAATATAATATATTTATTGTAAAAAAGCATAAATATTTCAATAATCAATGGCTATTAATGATTCATTAATCATTATACATCAAATAAATTTTGTGCAATCAAGATTAATTATTAATCACTGTGCGTAAGCATTTGTCAAGAAATGCACGATTGATTAAATTAATTGATGACTATAGAATAGTACATTATAGCTATTGTTCAAAGACATCCTGACAACTCTCTACAAAACTCATTCAGTTCTGTAATTATTTTATTTACTACAGAATATTAATATATATTGTGGCCTTAGTACTGTGTCTAGACATATTTGTTGCACTGAAGTTTCAACTGTCATTCATCAAAGAAATACTCAGACGTTTCTACTTAGTCGCGGAGTCAAGTATCTCTTTGGATTCACATCACTGTGTCATGTGACAGTGACCTAATTATATTATGTCATTCAGTGCAGCTGAATGCACAGTTTTTGGATATGCTTCTGAGAACTAGATGGAATTATTATTTAATCATTGACTGACATTATTAACGAAGAAAAGTCAGTTAATTGAACCATAGAGGTTCATGTAGTGGAGAAGATTTCTTAATGACATTCATTTCTAACTGTGTAATGTTCAATTTTAATGGATGTAATGGAATGTTCCAATCTAAATGCAGTGTTGAAAATAATATGTTTGTACTAAGAATTATTATGAGTAGCTCACTTTTTTTTATTGCCACTTTGCGTCTTGTGTATTATATTGTTTGTAATAATAGGAATGCATTGAAATCCTACTTTATAGAAAAAAGAGTTCACAGAGTGACAAAAAACTTTCTGTTTTTGTCCTAGCAGATTCTCATTATCAGTTATAAAAACAATCAGGGAAAAATTATACTTTGAAATATTAAAAATTTAAAACAAAAAGATAGTCATAAAAAGATTTGAGATGGATGGACCCTCATGTTTTTTTTTTTACAGAGTGCAATGATAAAATAAATTTGTTTTCAATTTCTATATAGAAATATTTTAATCAGCCCTGGATGGTATGTAGTGTGATCAGCACACTTTTGATTAATATTCAAAGTTTTTTGCAAGTGGAGGAAATATTTAATGCTCTAGCTTTTGCCAACTAATTATTGCCAAAACAAGAAATCATGTGCAACATATTGCCATTATCCCAAGAACACAGTTTACCAAACAGTGAAGTTATTTAGGGTTCCTGACATTTCAATGCCTTTGACCTAATCACTGTCCTTTTGCCAACTAGCATTTACTGTAAAATCACATATTTTCATGTGTGGGGGGGGGGGACAAATTTTCAAGGTTTGAGGTAAAATAATTGATTTTGGGGACTTGTTTTCATGGTTGAAGAATGGTAATGCAAATGAAAATTTTAAATTTCATGGTGGCCATTATATTAATTGGTGGGTTTCCCTATAGGCCTCAAAAACAACAAACATTAACCCCCAATGAAAATAAGTAATTTCACAGTAACTGTATAAGTCTATGGGATATTTATTTAATATCTATCTATTTAATATATGTCAACTTTATTATCAAGAAAATCATTGCTTTTGGTTATGACCTCATGTCCTCTACAAAGTCAGTAGTATATTATTTAAGTTAATTTAACAGAGAGCATCTAGTCTACTACATAGTGTACTTCTCCATTCAAGCTATATTTGGTTATCATGAGAACATGAGCCAAGAAGCAGTACAATGAACTGCCTTTATGGAAAATCAGTCTGCTTGCAGTGCATTGTGGGTACAGAGGTTACAGCAAAATATTTGCAGCACAGTTTGAATTTTCTCTTTGCCCAGACATTGCTTTGAGAGCATGCATTGCAAATGGTGCTTAGACACACTCACTATTATCTGTTTATTAACCGTGACCTTCAGAAGCCAGGATATAGGGCTAAACATGTTAAAAGTTCGAGACAGAATAATCTTCATTTATTTTTGGGATCAAGTCAGCTTAGATAAGTAGTCTATAGGTACAAAGGCAGACACAATGTAGTATTAAAACAACAATAATTTAAGTTTATTTTTAGGGATGGGGATTGGGAGTTATCCATGTCCATTGAAATTATAGGTCGATCTGATTAAGAGTGTGGATTGGATTGCATTTGGGGTCACAGGGTCAAAGAGCATGACTTTTATATAGCAGAGACCAGAGTGCATATTGGAAATGCTAGTATAGGATAAAAACCCAATTCCAGTTTTGAACAGTTACATGTATTTACATAAACATTCACATTTATTTTTTTTTCAACTGTGCATTATTTTGTCAAAGGTCAAGGCTTCACCCAATATGAAACAATTTCATTTGCTTTTTTACAGGTTTCGCTCCACCTGCTAAAGCTTTCTAATGATTGAAATTTATTTTATTTATTCTTTGAGTGTAATAACTCTTGATTTCTGTAACATGTGGAAAACATCCGGGATTTTAATACACTTTGAATAAATTAACCAAGTTTTTGTAGGCAGCTGTTGTTTTGTCCTGAAGAAACCTAGGGCATCCACTGATTGTCAGCAAGATGCGAAAATGTTTATTTCTCAGATGGGAAATTATTCCATCTTTCCTGTAAAATGCCAGTACAGTCAGTGTGTTATTTCCCTGCTGGGTCCAATCTAATGTTTTATTCACATGCTCTCCAACTGCACTGTAAATTATTGATATGCACCTAATAAGCTTATGATCTCAGGGAAAATGGTCAATTATAAAGAGCTAGATTGTACAATTATTCAGTACATTGTGCTTTGTAATACAAAAAAAAAAATTAAATGATATGGTACAGAAAATTGTTAAGTGCTGCTTTGCACTTCCATACACCTTGCATTTAATCTTTGCACTATAAATCTAATAAGAGAAAATCAGAAAGAGATTAATTTATGGGTAGTACATGTAAACAATAATCTTCCCCTGAACATGTTGAATAAAATAATTTGTACAGGTATTTAAGCACTTTTTAGCTCACCTGAGCCGAAGGCTCAAGTGAGCTTTTCTGATCACATTTTGTCCGGCGTCCGTCTGTCTGTCTGTCCGTCTGTCTGTCTGTAAACTTTTCACATTTTCGACTTCTTCTCAAGAACCCCTGGGCCAATTTCAACCAAACTTGCCACAAAGCATCCTTGGGTGAAGGGGATTCAAGTTTGTTCAAATGAAGGGCCACGCCCTCATTCAAGGGGAGATAATACTGGGAATTAATGAAAATTTGGTGGTATGCTTTAAAAATCTTCTTCTCAAGAACCACTGTGCCAGGAAAGATGAAACTTATGGGGAAACATCCTCAGGTAGTGTAAACAATTTTTTCAAATCATGACCCCCAGGGGAAGGGCGGGGCCAAAATGGCCGACCAAAGTGTTACGTGGAGATATATAGAAAAATACTCTAAAAAATTCTTCTTCTCTAGAATGACAAAGCCATAATTCATCATATTTATATGGAAGCATCCTCAGATAGTGTAGATTCAAGTTTATTCAAATCATGACCCCCGGGGGTAGGGCGGGGCCACAATGGCCGACCAAAGTGTTACATAGAAATATATAGGAAAATTCTTTAAAAATCTTCTTCTCAAGAATAGCTAAGCCATAATTGATCATATTTATATGGAAGCATCCTCAGGTTGTGTAGATTCAAGTTTGTTCAAATCATGACCCCCGGGGGTAGGGCGGGGCCACAATGGCCGACCAAAGTGTTACATAGAAATATATAGGAAAATTCTTTAAAAATCTTCTTCTCAAGAATAGCCTAGCAATAATTGATCATATTTATATGGAAGCATCCTCAGGTAGTGTAGATTCAAGTCTGTTCAAATCATGACCCCCGGGGGTAGGACGGGGCCACAATGGCCGACCAAAGTGTTACATAGAAATATATAGGAAAATTCTTTAAAAATCTTCTTCTCTCTCTCAGCCAAGCCATAATTGATCATATTTATATGGAAGCATCCTCAGGTAGTGTAGATTCAAGTTTGTTCAAATCATAACCCCCGGGGGTAGGGCGGGATCACAATGGCCGACCAAAGTTTTAAATAGAAAAATATAGGAAAATCCTTAAAAAATCTTCTTCTCAAGAATAGCCTAGCCATAATTGATCATATTAATGTGGAAGCATCCTCAGGTAGTGTAAATTCAAGTTTGTTCAAATCATGACCCTGGGGGGTAGGGCGGGGCCAAAATGGCCGACCAAATGTTTACATAGAAATATATAGGAAATTAAATTCTTTAAAAATCTTCTTCTCATGAACAGCCAAGCCATAATTGATCATATTTATAGGGAAGCATCCTCAGGTAGTGTAAATTCAAGTTTGTTCAAATCATGACCCTGGGGGTAAGGGCGAAACGATTACACGTGTAAACGGCGACGTTTCGATTATATGCTCTAAACGTTTACAGTTTGAGTAAACGTTTACACGAAGGTCATTATCAATGTCTATCAGAAATAAAGTTTAACACAAAAAAAATTGTTTTATTTCATAATTTACAAAAGAAACACCGTCTTTGGCCATTTGTTAAGCAACAATCTAAAGAGAAACATATTGAATGAAAATATCTAAAACCCGATACGGGCTAACATAATTAATTCCGATTTCCGAGTTGCTAATACTAGCGATGTTTTACGACACTTGAAATATAAAACTTGATATATTCTGATTAAATGAATATAATACATTTTTCACAAGTCTTTGAAAAGTTTCAATACATTCAGCAGGTCCTGTTTTACTTTTTTCGAGATTAAAAGATCCATCTTTACAATTATTTTTTCTACGTCCGGTAACCAAATAAACCAAGCAGTTGGGTAAGGTCGTAAGTGAATGAATTTAATGCGCCTCAAATTCTTACGGTTAAATCACAATGACCAACAATAAATTTGTAATAACAGCTCATACTTATATTAAAGTGAAAGAATTGATTATTAAATTCGAGTTTCATGAATGAGTAGCCATATAAATCCAACATAGAATATTTCCCGTTTAAACGGTACCGTTTCGTTTACTGCTATCCGTTTAAACGTTTACAAAATTCAGTAAACGTTTCACCCTTACCTGGGGGGTAGGGCGGGGCCACAATGGCCGACCAAAGGTGCTCAGGTGAGCGATGTGGCCCATGGGCCTCTTGTTATTTGTTTGTACTGGGGTACTCTTTTAACATTCATTTGGTCTGAACCAATAAATTTCATGTGACAAATGTCATAAAATATTAATTGCATTGTTAATGATAAGAGTACATTAATATTGACAAAAGTAATTGGAATTTCAATCTTATCTTTAAAATATTTAATTGTGTAAGAACCTAATTATAATTAACAGACAGACAGACAGGATTGAGGACTGATATTGATGAATACTGTGGAATCGTCAATGTTTGCGGGGCATCAATGTTCATGCATGGTTTTCATGGGTGACCCCTACCCATGAAATAACATCTTGGCAAATGCTTATTTTGCAAACATATTAATCATTGAATCTGCCCTATAAACAAGTAACCAACAAAATTAAGTCCCCACAAAAGTAAAGTTTTGCATGGCTAGTGACATTAATTGATCCCCACGAAATAAATGATTCCATAGTACTGACCATTTAGTACATGTACTGTGCAATTATATGTACTGGTATGGTGTGTCAAAACAGAATCTTGATGAGGTGGAATTTGTCTATAATTTACAAAATGCATGCATCTATATACATCTACATATGTATATTAATGAAATAAATCCAATTATAAATGTGTGTCCAGATAAAAGGATTATTAGTAACTAAAGAACTACATGTTTGTATAAATATCTCCTTTCTGTAAGACAGATATTTGAAGTAATTAAAGCGTACTTAGTCATATTACACTAATTTACCGATAATTTGATAAAATAGTTCAGGAAAGTTACTTCTGAAGTAATGAGAACTAATGACATCTAGTAAGATTAAAGGTGATTATTGGCATATTTTTGTAACTTTCCCCAAAAATTGGGTTAAGTAAATGAATTCCCTCCAAATATTGATGCTGTAAATTAAATAATTAAGTATTTTGTTTAATCCTATACATGGACATGTATTCTATAGTTATTCTTTGATATCTATCTCTCTCTCTACAGATAAACTTTCAATTTAATATTTATAATGAATTAAAGGTAGACAATTAAGATATTGATTATTACTTAATGAATTCCTTTATTTGTTGTAGAATGCTTTCGAGTTGCAATTTGATGATCCAGGCTGGATGAAGTTCATGTCTTCCTTGAAGCCTTTGGTAAATATGTTAAATTGTTAATCACTTAAATTATTCATGTTAGCTAGTCTCAAAGATTCTTTTTTTTGGTAGCAAACGAGTCAAACCTTTAACTGATAAGCACCTTGTTACATGTTGTTGCCAAGTAATCAAATACATTAGTATAGGGAAGTTAGTCTATTATTAATCTGTTTGTTTCTTGAAAACCTTTGTCATTTTCACAATTATTATTACCTTTGGTAAGTTTGGATAACATTTAAGATTTTGTGTTATAACAATAGTAAAGCATTTGAGTCATTTGGCCTAGAATGAAGCCCCTTGTACTTTGTAGAAGTAATAAATCTTCAATTCAGAGGGAAAATCCTGATTGCCTTAGTAAACCAGCTTTAAAACTTTATCATTTGTCACCTTCCAGGGTGTAGAAAGAAGAATACATCATGTTCAATGGGTTGCATCCTTTTACATAACAGTACATTTGCTTAAGTAGCTATAAAAAGAGATCAATTGATTGGCTCAGCCCACTGCAGTGAGTACTGTTGCTGTTATAGAGGTCATTCAGTGGATTATTCCAATATATGAGGGTTATGGAAATTGATGTATCCTTAAGATGAAATGGAATAGTCTTAAGTGGAATAGTCCAACAATAAACTTGTGGTAGACTAGTCTAAGATTTTGTTAAAAGGTAATTAAAGTTTCATTTGGAATATTCCAACATGCACTTTTCAGTACATGCGGTGTTATACAACTATACATCTTGATAGGAAAGTATTTTTAGAGAGAAATAATAAAAAAAAATTCAATTTTCTATTCTTGAATTATATGCAGTTTAATTTCTCTCTCCATTTTCAGTCCATTAGGTTTAAAGTACAAAGTCTAGCTAGTCAAACAGTCAAAGCTAATTGATGTTATTACTGATATATTCAATACAGTTAAACCTTGTTATCTCAGACTGGATGGGACAGAGAACATTTTTGAGATATCTGAGGATTTGGGATATTTAAAAGGATTTTATAGTTATAAGTGATCTTTAAAATTACCTTGACATTTCCACATGGAATTTGTAATACATGCATATACAGTATATCAGTACATGTATTAAAGTTCAACTGTACTTATAAAGTCTATACAGTTTGAACTTTGGTATCTAAAACACTGATGTCTTGTATACCATGGATATCATGTCAACATAGTTTGGAAGTCGGAATTTCTTGATGTACATATTTTACCCATTACATCTTGCATCCTTGGATATCTCGGAAGTTTTTTCACAGTCCTGTCATGTTTGAGATAACGAGATTTTGACTGTATGTACTTGCCTGTGCCCCTTGATGAAATTTTTTGACGGTTCTGTTTTGTCCAAAGATGAGAAAAAACACTAAACAAAATCCCCCCCCCCCTCTCAAAAAAAAATCTAATATTGAAAATCAGGATTACATGATTGGGACTACAAGTACTACTTAAGAGAGGCAAGATTATAACATAAGTTTGCATACAAAACAAAACTGCAAAAAACTTCTATAAATATAGAATTAATTTTTTAATTATGATGAGTTTGATTTAATCGGTGATCTGACTCTGTTTCTACATATGCATGTACTGTTATTTTGGCTCTTAAATTGTTATGATAATTGAATAGCAGATTTTTTTTGGCTTTATATGTATGGTGTTTTGTTTTTGAATGATACCACTAAGTTGGTAAACCTCAAGGTCGTTATTTCAATGTTCAACTTTATAATCTTGAGAGCGGTCTGGGCAATTCATTAGTCATTGTTTGATATCATCAATATCTCATTATCTGTTTACATTCAATGACATTTACACACCTTAGTAAAGAGTCTCTGAGTAAAATGCATATCAGACAGTCAATTCAACAAAACAGCCTCTAGCAAATTATGTAGCATATTGATCAACTGCATGTATAAATGAAAAGAAAAAAAAATAACGGACAGTACATGTAATTTATCTAAATAAAAAAATGTTTGTATCAGATTAAATGTAGACATCATGTAACATTCAAATTCTTAAAGTAAGCTTAGCATTTAGGAATAAATAAATGTGACAGTTTTGTTCATTATTAAACCATATGTTAGCAATTTATAAATTTGCACTTGGAATTCTATAGTGCTTTGCATGCAGGCAGTGAACTTTTATAAGCTTTATACCCGGACAATTTGCTGCATGTCCTATTTTGAAATAGCAATAAGAACAGTCGCTGGTCATATGAGTGCATCAGCTTAGGAGTATTTGTCCTCTAAATATGTACAGTACATGTACATGTTCTATAAAGTTTCACCAGAGTCAAAAGTTCAGACCACACAGTGTTCAAACGAAATCTGCAATTTCTTATGCTTGGTGCTGTAGCAACTTTTCTTTATGGAAAAAAAGTCCATAGAAATTTAAAAAAAAACTTTAATCATATGGAATTTATGATTGATATATTTTTATTTTACATATAGTGCATGAATCTATAGTTTATACAGTATTAAAAAGGCTAAAAGAAATACTTCAGTTTTTATAGTATATTCAATTATTAATATTTTTTATTAATTTTTATCCATTTAAAGAATGTTGGCTGGCTATAAAATTGATACTTTTTCAGGGAAATAAAAAAAATCAGAGATAAATTAATGGATTCTTGTACGTGTAATCTGATCTTGAGAGAATTGATTTTGCAATTTTTTTTTCTCCAAATTCAGGATGGCATTAACTTAATTTTATCATGCTCACTATAGAGTTACAGAAAATGACATTTTGCTCTTTGTATGTCACTAGGACTTCACCCAAATTGTCATTTTGTAGGACATTCCAGTGCAAATCGGTCAATTATTTCCTTTGTCGGGCAAAGTCAGGAGTGCATTAGGAAAAGTTCATTAGTGGGTAAATGGATTCATCCATTGTACATCCACCCTGCTCTACCCTGAGACCAAAATGGAATAGACAGGGAAGTTGTACTTTAAAACGATGAGACATGTACTGTAAGCTCGGGGTGTACTTTTCCTAAAGTGCTCTCTTTTGGACATACCGCAGATAAAGTACTCCTTTGTACTCTTCTGTCATTTAAAAATCAGGGTCATTTGTAAGAGGATTATGGGACTATTAAAGTCGTTGATTGTTAGAGTCATTTAACAGTACACGTTACTGTCATTTTAAAAGCTGTCTTATAATTTGCCTTTGCCATACGTGACACCATTATTACATCACTTGACCCACACTGCCGAAAAAGATTATATGCCTCTGTGGGTTAATAAATGCATAGGATATAAGTCAATCAAATTAGGGGACCCAAATTTAGCTCTAATTAGTAAATTATGTAGGAATATATCCATGAATATTAATATGTTTGTTAAATCAATGCACTTTATTGTCTTGATAACAATTTACTCTAGACAGATCTCATCCTTGGCATTTTAAAATAGAAGTTTTTTTTCTCTTTCTCAAGTAAATTGATTAGGAGAGATTTAGCTATAAAGTTCTGATGCATTTAATTATGGATTTCATTTGTATTCATTTTAATTAGGAACTTCTAATAATTTTAAAGCATTTTTTATTAATGTAAGGAAATCTTGCTTTGTGTTAAAGTGGTGATAATAGGTATTAAACCTTTGGGAACATTTTATTTTTCTTAACTTTAATATCTAAAAATATAAATGTTTGTTTGTATATATAAACTTTTATAAATAATAGAGAAAATGAACCACTTTCAAAAATATCTAAATTGATATACATGTAGATGATAAATGTTATGTTTGAAATGACATGATAATAGAAAGATGTATTGAAAAAAAGATTTATATATCATATACTGTAAAATTACATATTTTTGTGGGGTCAAATTTTTGTGGTTTGAGGAAAATCTCTTGACCAAACTTGCATGGATGGTACACTTTGTATTCTACTAGACTTGCTCCGGATGCTGAATCTGACCTGCATTTTCTGGGATGCTGAATCTGACCTACATCTTGCAGATGGTTCGTAGGGATTTGATTTCGTGGATCAAGAACTAATGAGTACTTATGTACTTAATATTTTACATTTTACCTCGAAAACAACAAAAATTAACACCCCACAAAAATGTGATTTCACAGTACATAATCTGTTTTTCAAACAAAGTGTCAACAGATTACAAACAGGAGTCATATATAATCATTGCTTTTTCATTAATTTTTTTTGATAGAATAACTTCAAGTATTCGAGTAATTTTGACAAATAACTCTCCACAGAAAATTGTCAGAAGTTATTTGCTAACGCAAAATATTCAGTCTTTAAAAAAAAAGAAGCATCAAATATTCAATATAGTTAAAGGATTTTAAGAAATTCTGCCAATATTGTTATGTGCTTCTAGATACACAGTGTGTCATTGATATGTTGAAGTACTAGCTGTCTTATTCAATTCAGCCAGGGAAGTCATAACTAGGTCCTATATCTGTATAGATGTATTTGTCTTATATTGTGCAACAAATCCCTATAATGGCATTATTATGTCAAACTTCTGTTTGGATCAATTAATTGATCATATGACAGGTCCAGAATAGCATATGTAAAGCATGGTTTGAGTGTAAAGAGATTGAGTCATTTGATACAAGTTATGTAATAAATCAGTTTAGCATCTATCTATAATTGTCTGTGTGGGCAGAGGTGTTTTTTTTTTCACACAAAATGACTTCAAATATAGAATCATATATTATATAATGGCTATTATATATAATACCGGGTAATATGAGCTAGTTTTGAAAAGTACATGTAATGTTAATACATGTAAATAGAAATACCCCACCCATTCAGTGTGAAAATATTTAAAATGTCTATAATTATCATGAAGATAGTTCTTAAAGTCTGAGGCAAATGCAATACTGAGTTGATCTCTTTCAGGCATTATGAAAGAGTTTCAAGAACAATTGGCATCACCTTCCTATGTCCATAGTTTTTATCTTGACCTTTGACACTGTGATCATAAAATTAATTTTTAAGGGAAGGGTGTTGGTTGGTACTAGAGTACTAAATTTAACGTTTGTCAAGAAAAGGGTTCATGAGATATCTCCTATGTAGAGTTATTTGACCTTCAACCATTGTGACCTTAATATCAATAGGGGTCATCTTTTCCTTAGGGGGTACTAGTGTGCCTGTCAATCAAAGGATTCTCAAGATATTGATTGGACAACACTTGGTCTATTGACTGAAAGCTGCAAACCAATTTGCCTTTATTAGCTAACTTGAGCCGAGAAAGCTCAAGTTCTGATCACATTTTGTCTAGCATCCATCTGTCTGTCTGTCTGTAAACTTTTCACATTCTCTACTTCTCAAGAATCCATGGGCCAATTTTAATCAAACTTGCCACAAGCACCCTTGGATGGAGGGGATTAAAGTTCAAGAACAGCAAAATAGTACATGTATTAGTACATGTAATATGATTATTACCTACCTACCTACCTATTCCTTGTTGCACCCGGAGGCACATAGGGCAAGGACTAGGGATTTCCATTCCTCTCTGTTCTTAGCTATCTTCTCTGCCTCTCCCCAGGTAAGATTTATATCTTTTAGCTCTTTCTCTACAGTTCGCCTCCACGTTGTTTTTGGTCGGCCTTTCCTCTTCATCTCTCTGACTACTTGAGCCTGCTTTCCTGCCTCGTACATGGTACGGACATTCCAGAAGCTGATCTTCAGTTTGGTTCTCGTGCTCAGTATACTCTTCATGCGACCAGCTTCCTGTTGGCTTTCGCTGGTTGCATTCATATGCGCAGATTGCTGCTGGTATTCTGATGCCTCGAGGAAGGATGAAATACTCCTAGTCCTCGTATCTGTAATCATGCAGTTTTCACGAGAAGGGGAGATTACCCCATTGCTCAACCTTCAACTTGGTGGACCAGGGATTTGTAATCGAGGTTGCCTTCCTCTAGAATGGTTGCCTGCCACAGCTCATGAAGCCATTCTCTCCAGGTTTTCTTAGATTTTCTGTCTGGATTTTCTTCCATAGCCTTTGACTTTCCCAAGCCGTCCACAAGGCAGTGGAACTATTTAACCCATAGCTGGGAACTAGGTTTGCAGGTATCAGGGCATATCCAAACGCCATTGGGCCATGCATACCGTGCATTTAGGGGCCTAGTTTCCTCCAAGACAGGTACCCAATTTCCATCTGCTACCTCGAGGAATCTTAGGTCTTACATACCTGGCAGAGAAGACTTAATATACTCTTTAATGATTATTAAAGGACCCTCAAATCATTTAGATTCTAGTCTGTTCAGATCATGACACTTGGAGAATGGATGGGGCTACAACAAAGGATAAATTTTTACATAGGAATATATAAGGGGGAAAATTCTGCTGATGAAAAATGGCAAGGTTTTATTGACTCAGGTGAGCAATTTGTCCCATGAGTCTCTTGTTTCAAAGAAGGACAAAAAAAAATCGTATTATCAAATAGCGTAGATATATAGTCAAGAAATGATCTATTCACCTTAGCACAGCTAAATGTTAAGCTGTATTTTTTTCAGGGCCTGAATATTTTGGCCAACACCTGCAATGAGAAGACCATGGATTGGTACACTAAATTTACTGACCATGTGGCATCAGAGGCACTGGCCAATGAGGACACAGTGGCTGTGGTTAATAGAAGGTAAGATTTAATGTATGAATAAGACAGCAATTATAAAAAATGATTATTTTTTTGTTGAATATTTATTTATTTCTTTGCCATTTGTAGATGCCTGTGTGAGTTAGCCAGACAAATTGGATTCACTGAGAAAGCATTGGATGGATTTCTACTGGATAGGATTCTTGGCCTTTATAGGCAGGTGGTAAGGACATTTTCATTCATGTTAACAGGTCTGGTACTTTCAGCAATGAAAAAGCATAATATGAATCTATGAGGATGGGGATGTGATCGGGTAGTAACTCATTTTTGATGTCACCTAAGGAAGGGGGTCTAGTCAAATTTATTATACTTCTGTTATAATTTGTTTCCTATATAAAGTTCAGAAGGCAAAATAACTATCTTTTATAGTTCACGCATAGCAAAGCTATTCCCCGGGGTATAGTTTGTGTTATTATCCTTTGCCTTATCATAAGTCATCTTCTGAAAGTTTAGACTTATTTTCCAAAACCAGAATGAAAATAAACTTGATAATGCACCTCTTGGTAAAAGTGATTCAACTGTCTAGATGAATGCACTTGTCTCTGGAAGAAAAATTATTTCTTGTCTTATGGGATTTTTGTGTATTTTTGTATTTCTACTTACACTAAAAAGGTAGACTTTGATAATTATTGTAAATAATCTTTCACATTTCAAGCATTGTAATTGTTGAAGAATGACAATTGTCTTAATCTCTAGTTAATGTTCACTAAGATAATTATAAATACTGGTACATGTATTTTGCAGTCATCAGAGGAATCGGCCAAAGCTAAAGTGCACCGAGCCAAGTCCTTTGTACATCATCAGATTCCTATGCCAAACATGTTCTCTGTGGTGATGAAGGAAAAGATGTCGGGTAAGGCATACAGTAATTGTTTAACATGGACCAGTTTTGAAATGTTTCAAATTACAGTAAAACTTGTCTTAAATGGATGTTGTTTACATGTATTTCAAATTCTTGCTAATATGAAACTAAAATGGAAATTTTAGTCCCTTTCAGATACTAGTAATTTATAGTTTGGCTAATGTGGAATGTTGTCTAATCCAGTCAATTTTGGTTTTTGAATTAGACAAATTTTTACTGAATTATAGACACCTCATTCTATTGTAAAAGGAAATCTATTCTGTTAACTTTACAGGGCCTTCATGTTTGATTGTTCCAAAAGCACTTACATTCTAGGTTCCTTTCTTCATTATATCATTGAAGAAATTGACATGTCATAGTTATACTAAAAGATAATCAGAATTTTTTAAAAGAAGATTTTCTTAGAGCAGTATTTTGAAATTTATCCACATTTTTTACAGGATCCAGTCAGATTTTCTCCCAGGGAACCGGGGACATCCTAATGGACTGCTGTAGTGACTACTGGAATGGAGAAGATGTCTGTCCCCTCACTGAAAATGACAGGTAGATCCAGAAATCTACATGATGCATGTTGATTTACTGAAGAAACAAAAAAAAATGTGTATTGCCTCAGGAAGTTGTAACTTACAACACATTATTTTACAGGAAAAAGATGTTGGATTTCTATCACAGATCCAGCATGGCTGCCTATTGCACAGCCTTTAGTTATCGACCTTTGACCCAGTATATTTCACCACAACTCTGTGAGAACTTCATACAGCTACCTCAGTATTGGTCCAGCATGATTGAACGGACTTCTGTCTCAGTGTAAAGCTTCTCTTTGACTTTGATCAGCTTATGTTTCTATGAAGAAGTCAACTTTGTCATATCTCATAATAAAATTAAAATGAATCTGTGATTTTCTTTTTAATGAAAAAGACTAACTTTTCATTAAATAAATGCTTAGGGTTGAAAGAAGTGCAGTTTATAACAGTTTAAAAATTCCATGGTTTTAAGATTTTAGGTTTGGAAAGAAAATCACTTAAATTTTTTTTACCAGGCTAATATGCTTACAATGTTTGGCTTTACAGGAGCTCAGATGCTGACATGCAGTTTGACACCCAGTTATGGAAGGATTCTCGGGCCTTCAGTATGGACTCGCTGTTTGACAACACCAGTACCTCCTCAGTGGAAGACACCATTGGCTGCTGTCAGGCCCAGAGTAATCAAGTGTTTATTGGGATGGTCACAATGCAATACCAGGCTAGGCAGGTAGGTAGTATAATTAATAAATGGAGCACAAATCACAATTTTGAAATTGCATTTTTTTAGCGTCAGGTTCTGCTTCTTGTGTATTGAAATTACTTTGACACAAAATATTTCACCTGAGAAATTCTAAGTGCATCAGTCTTTGTTACTTTATTTTAATCCCTTTTGCAGGATTTTGTTCAGCTCATCGACAAATTAGAAATTGCCTGCATAAGATTTGTGCATTTTTCCCAAGAAAATGAAGTCAGAAGCAGAGTAAGTAAGAGTTAACTCCCTTTTAAATAAGGTATTTATCCTTATTTAACAAGTTTTTCAAATGATTTTTAAATTTTTTTCCAGGTATTTTCAGAGAAGATGGGATTGGAGGCAGGCTGGAACTGCCACATTTCCCTGCGGTCAGATTTGGGTATGGGGACGGCCCCTACCAGTGCTTCAGTCTCGCAGGTCGAGCTAAGCAATCGGTACTCTAGTCGCCACTCTTCTGACACAGCTGCTAAAGAAACCAACGCCTGCGCCAGACTTTTCCAGTCGCAGGAATCCATCAGATCTAGAAGCTACAGTGCACCTAGTATCGTCAATTTAGACTCCTCGCAAGTCCGATTTCAGATGTCTGATAATGGCACCAGCAAGCCCCGACAGCGGTTTCTAAGTGAACATCAGTGTGAACCTATGATTCCGACAGACAGTCAGAATCAGGGAAGTCCGGAGATTTTCGAAAGTGAAACCACTCCATTGAACTATGAAAGAGAAGGAGAAGAGATTATTTTAAAGTCTTATGAGTGGACCAATCAGACATCAGATAACATGGGGAGTGGGAGTAGGAATGCCTCTAGTTATCTGACTGAGGATAGCTTGACTGGTGCACTAGACAATAGGGTAAATATTTTTAATAGCAGTTTTCTGACTCATGGATTTACAAATACCAATGCTATTAGGTAATTTTGTGTAATGAAAAAAACCAAAAGATTTTTTTCATGATTTTATCCTGTTGTAGGCTAGACTGCCCAAAGGAATAGAGAATATAAGACCACACTTGGAGAGTGTGGACAATGTACCTCTGTTAGTGAATCTCTTTACAGACTGTACACCTGAGAGTAAGTAACTGCAACATTGTAAATCATATTCCAACTGTGCCTCTTTGTTAGAAATCTCATCGAGAATGCTTCATTTTTTGTTGCAAATGTTCAGTATTTTTTTATGAAAAGGAAATGTTTTCCATTATGAAAAAATATCTGAGTTTTGAAATCTGTACCATAATATGTTTATGTACATATAAAATAAGGGTGTCTACATTGCTTCATTTTACTTAGTTAATACATGTATTTCATTGCACTATGTTGTGAAAATTTGACTTCATTATGAAAAGGAATTCACTATATTAAGATTCACTATAACTTGGCTGTACTGTACCATTAATCTTTCAGCCACACGTGAGATGATGGAGATCATGCAGGAACATGGAGAGGTTGTGATATGCACAGGAAGTAATCTCAACATAGAAAATGTCGACCTCTTTCTACAAGGAGACTGTAGGTAGGTATTGTTGGTGCAACTTAAAATGACTTCACATGCATTTGGAAGAGTAATTACTAATTTATGAAAAGAGTCAAGCAGAAGAAATAAACTCTTCCAAATGAATAACAATGCATTTTGTCAAACTGCTGTAAAACAACTTTCAGAAAAATCCATGAGATTAACAGCATTTTATTCTCTGTGTGTTTTAACCAAATATGTAGGGTTTCAAAATTTGCTTGACAATATTTATTAAAATTTATTTAATTTTCAATATATTTACTTTGTCCAGTTTGGCAGTCGAGCCCTTGTACCCAGTGGTGTGTGCTAAGAATGCCTCCCTGATGAACCAGAGTGGGGATAACTCCCTCACCCCCATGGCTATAGCCGCCGACCTCATCAGCCTTCCTTGCCCCCTGGTTTATAAGTTCAGAGACAATGTTGGAGTTATCCAGCTCATTACAGAGGTAGGAAATATATTTCTCTTTGTGGTTTTAGCTCGTCTGAGCCAAAGGCTCAAGTAACTTTTTCTGATTGAAATTTATTGCAGTTAGTCAAAGAAATGTGCAAACATTCTTTAATACTAAGTGTTAATTCAAGTATTAAAGTTTGTTCAAAACATAGACCCCTCTCCTTTAAGGGTAGGTTGGGACAACTTATGAATTTAAAATTTAGTCGACTGATGTCTGCTTTTTTCCTAGCCACAGTGCTCAGGTGAGTGTTGTAGCCCATGGGCCTCTTGTTCCTTCTGAACACTTATTGTATACAGGATTATTTTTGCCCAGTTGTGTTTTTACCCTTTCATACATGTAAACTTGTTCCATTTTAAAATCGCACAGACAAATTTTTGTTCCATTGACAATGCTGTTTTCTAAAATACACCGTTTTAAATTCACCTACTTGTTGGTTAGGAAAAAGGGTGAAAATTTACAGTTCCCTGAGAGAGGTAAAACAAGGTAAAACACTTGCAATTTTATGTTCATTGAGAAACTAAAAATGTAAAAGAACAAAAAAAAATTCTTAAATTTTCAAAATTCAAGTGAAAGATTAATATTTTTAACTTAGAAAAAACTCAATGAAAATGTTGAATAAACTGCAAATGATCCTTACAAAGCACTTCATAACACTTCACCATGTTGAGAGATTTTTATTTTCAGGCTCGGACGTTTCTTTTGTCACTGAAGAACACCTTTTACCTGATGTTGTGTTACCACCTGTCCGTGACCCTGATACAGGTGTTGGCCTCCCTCCTCCTCCTGCCCCCTGTTCTTGCCCCCCAGCACCTGCTGTGGCTGCTCATTTTTATCATCCCCCTCCTTAGTCTCAGTATGATGGGGAATGCAGTGGATTTCAGAATTATGAACAATGCCACTGTCAAGTATCCAAAGACTATAACTAAAGAGGTATTTTTTATCTTTATATGCTAAGTTATACCTCCAAGGTTTATTTTTTGAAGGTTCCATTTTTTAATGTACATGGTCAAGCAAAATTTTAGCTGTTCAAAGGAAAGTAATTTTATAGGTTATTCATTTAGAGGTATATTCAATGAATCAGTATGTTTACAAAAGAAAAATAAGTGAGATAATGGTATCCCAGGAAATACACAAGGCATTTGTTCCTTACAATCAATGATAATATTCAGCAGTAATTATGCTGTAAACTGTTTAAAGTAATATTATTTGTGCAAATGCTGTAAATATGCTAAGCACTACTTTTCGTTCCTATTCCAGATGATACTCCAGTTCCTCTGTTATTACTGTTTGAGATTCCTACCGGCCATTATTGTGTGTTTATTCTGCTACACATTTACCCTCCATTCATTTTGTGAGAATGTTCCCCCAAACTTTCCACATTCCTGTGCAATATTTAGTTTTGGGTGAGTAAAAAATTCTTCTCCTCAGAAATTTTGTATTTGGTAGCATTTTAAGGGGAATAACTCTTGTAAAGAAAATACACTGTAATATTTTATCTTCCCTGTTTATTAATGTGCTGTGTATTTGAAATTTAAATAAGATTTAATTTGATATAATTTTTTATTTATTCAGTTTTATTTGAGTGATTTGGTTTTGTTTTCAGCCCTCAGAATAGTACTGTTACTTGGTATGAGAAGTACTCAGGAGGTCTTATAGTGGCTCAAAATATCCTACTCTTCTTATTGGTTTTATTCTTTGGTAAGTACTTGACATACTTGGCACTCAGTGTGTTAAATTTCAATTTTTAGCTCACCTCAACGAAGGGGAGCTTAAGTAATACCCTCGCCGTGTCAGTGTCGGTGTCGGCGTCGGCGTCCCAGGTTAAGGTTAAGGTTTTTGGAGCAGTTTTCTTTTTAAGTACTTCTATGTTCTATATTTATTAGACATGCATGGAAGATGCTTCTAGTGTGTTTCATTGTACCAGTCAAAGTTTCAGATGCTGCAATTTCATTTCAACAAAGGAATGACCATGTTAATGTTTTTGGAGCAGGTTAACATTTTTGTTGCAGTTTTTGGTGTAGGTCTCATTTCCAAGAAACTATAAGCCCTATGTTGACCAAACTTGCATGGATGATACATCTAAGGATGCACACTACCAGGCTTGCTTCAGATGCTGAATTTGACCTACATTTTCCGGTTGAGTGAACAGGTTAAAGTTTTTGGTGAAGGTCTCATTTCCAAGTAACTTAAGCCCTATGTTGACCAAACTTGCATGGATGATACATCTACTAGACTTGCTTCGGATGCTGAATTTGACCTACATTTTCCGGATGAGTGAACAGGTTAAAGTTTTTGGTGCAGGTTTCATTTCCAAGTTACAATGAGCCCTATAATGACTAAAATTGCATGGATGATACATCTTAGTATGCATACTACCAGACTTGCTTCGGATGCTGAATCTGACCTAAATTTTCTGGATGAGTGAACAGGTTAAAGCTTTTTATGCAGGTTTCATTTCCAAGTAACTATGGTCTTGCTCCGGATGCTGAATTCGACAGACATTTTCCAGATAATGGACCAGGTAAAAGTTATTGGTGCAGGTCTGTTACCAAGACACTATAAGGCTTATATAAACCAAACTTGCCCAAATGATGCATCAAGGGATGAAAACTCTCAAACTTTCTTCAGATGATGGATTTTAATCACATTTTCATGATGAAGAACTAGTTTGGAGTTATTATATAAGTCTATTCCAAAGTATCAGATCAAAATTGCATAAATTTTGCATTTTGGGATGTACACTTTTTGTTGGGTAATTGTGTGACTTTGCCTTACTTAAAGACAACATTCGTTGAGGTGAGCTCTGTAATCTCTGATTACCTATGTTTATTTATGTTTTGTACTAAAGTCCTGCAATTTTTCAACCAGTTAAGCTGGGCAACTCATTAACAGAGTTTAAAAAATCAGCAATGAGATGTACATGGAATGCAGTTATACTTGTCTAATACATGTGTTATGGATTGCATAATGTAGCCGAATCCTTGTTCAACATTTAGTAAATTCAATTGTATACAATGTTGTCTAAATTCAGAAGTTGTCAAATTGCACCAAATTCAATGGAACCAGTATTGTCTATATTATAAGACAAGTTTTAATGTATTTAAAACTTAAATTTTGAGATTGTTAAAGCTATGGACAGTATTACAGAGCTAAGTTAAATATTCTGATTATTACAGCTACAATATCAGTGAGCTTTGTCCATTGGTCTGACCAGCTTTGGCAGCAGTGTCCTACAAGTAATAAAGTGTGGAGTGTAGCCGTCATTACTGTGTATGTTTGAAAAAATGTCCGAGAATTTAAAAAAACAAAACAAAATGAAACAAGAAGTTAAATCACTTGAATAAACCAATTAAATTCAAAGCTGAGTTTAGACAAGTTTAAACTAACACCATGAACAGAAATTTAGTATAATTTAGCAATAAATGCAATGAAATCGCTATTATGGAGAGGACTTATATAGGTAGTGCCTGTTGTCCAATCCTGTTATGTTTATACATAATAAAATATTGTAAATTTAAAAATTATGAAATTGCTATTATCTGCTTGTAAATTCTATGTCTGTTCATAAGATTTGTCATTATGTTTTTGTTTTTAGGTTGTTGCTTCAGTGTGTGTTTTTTGCCTGTGATATTGTAATCAGGAGCAGTGGTGTCCCCTTCACTCTGTCCCTGGGAGATGTCCATCCAGCGGTGTATGGAACAGGTCTCCCCTTCCCCCTCGTTATTATTGTGATTAATGAACTAGTAAAGAGGAGGGAAGTCAAGTAAGTTTGTCTTGTCTAAAACTACTGTAGACGTACTTTTTTCCACGAGATCATAATTTTGCGGAATCTCAATTTCTGTTTAATGCGCAGGTAGAAAATTACGCGGATTTCTAAGACTGTCACTATTTGCCTTACATTTATATTAAGTACAACTGAACAAATTTCCGCGGAAAGTTTGTAACCGTGTACATAGCATAAAATAATACCACCCGGAAAAAAGTACTTATCCAGTAATTTTAAATCTTGTTTTACTAAAGACTTTTAAAGTTGACATGATGACATGCACTGTTTTACCATTCAACCTCAAAAATTGTTTGTACAGAGATTTACTGTACTTTGTGTACATTTAAAAAATTTTAAAAACATTTATGTGCATTTTACTTATATTTTGCTTTTCGAGTTGATGACTTCAATAATCTCTTAAGCTTGAATGAACATATTTGTAAAAGCCCATTCAATTGCAGATTACTTACATTTCATCCAATTTATATTGTACTCGTTTGTTCAATTGTAGGTTATATTCGAGATACCAGAAGAGAAGAAGACTGAGTTTTGGAACAAAATTAGGAATGAACTCTCCTTTTTAATGAGATTTTTATTTGATATTGTGAACTGTTTTGGAGCAATGTTTGCTTTGTAATGTGATGTGAATTAATGGTTCAGTGTGTGAATGTTGTAAAAGTGCTTACAGATTTTATTATAAAGACTGACACAAACCAAAGATTTGTATAAACACTCACAAATATATTTTTTTATGTTTTCAAATGCCAGATTAATTTGTTTAAGCAAAAAACTTGAGCTTTTTATAAAACTTATTCTAAAGATATAACCTTGTTGGCTCTATATATTTTCATGTGGAGGACTTATAAGGAGCTTGAATCTAGAAACTTGTCCATGTGAATGTACTCAAAGCTTGCTTGACAATTTACAGAAATCTGAACAATCAGAAATATCAGAATAGTCTGTTGATCAATCTTTTAAATTAAAACAAATAAAACTGTTTTTGTTGGTTTTTCTTCTTTCTTACAATCAACTGTTTTTAGCTCACCTGAGTGGAAGGCTCAAATGAGCTTTTCTGATCAAAATTTGTCCATTGTCTGTGGTTGTGGTCATTGTAAACTTTTCACATTTTCATCTTTTCAAGAACCACTGAGCCAATTTCAACCAAACTTGGCACAAAGTATCCTTGGGTAAAGGGGATTCAAGTTTATTCAAATGAAGAGCCACACCTTCCTGAGCCAAGGGTAGATAACTGTGAATTAGTGAAAAATTAATGGCATCTTTTGAAAATCTCCCTTTTTCGGTCAGTACAATAATTTAGCCATCTTCGAAGTACAATATTCACCTCGCCCTTCTTCCCACTGGACCAGGAAAGATGAAAATCATGTGGAAGCATCCTCATGTAGTGTAGATTCAAGTTTGCACAAGGCATGACCCCTAGGGGTAGGATGGGGCCACAATGAGGTATCAAAGTTTAACATAGGAATACATAGGAAAAATCTTTAAAAACTTTTCTGCTCAAGAACCCAGCTCAAGAACCACTGGGCCAGGAAAGCTGAAACTCATGTGGAAGCATCCTCATGTAGTCTAGATTCAAGTTTGTTCAAGGAATGACCTGGGGATAGGATGGGGCCACAATGGGGTATCAAAGTTTAACATAGGAATACATAGGAAAAATCTTTAAAAACTGTCTTCTAAAGAACCACTGGGCCAGGAAAGCTGAAACTCATGTGGAAGCATCCTCAGGTAGTGTAGATTCAAGTTTGTTCAAATCATGACCCCTGGGAGTAAGGTGGGGTCATAATGGGCAATCAAATTTTTATATAGAATATATAGAAAAAATCTTTAAAACTCTTCCTCTCAAGTACTGCAAAATTATGCATTTATGTTTTATAGATACATTGACATTCTCATGTAATAAAAAATTCAAATTCCTTCTTCCCCAACAAGCAAACTTTTCAATACTGAGCTGAATTGTGTTTTTTTTTAAACTAGCCCATGTGCTCAGGTGAGCAATGTGGACCATTGGCCTCTTGTCTCCCCTTGGCTTGGCCCTTCATTTGATCAAATTTGAATCCACTTTACCCAAGAATACTCTGTGCTAAGTTTGGTTGAAATTGGCCCATTGGTTCTTAAGAAGAAGATGAAAATGTGAAAGTTTACGACAACAAGGACAAGACAAATTTGGGTCAGAAAAGCTCTACTTTAAGCAAAGATTACTCATGAGATGGGATGCATCATACCTTTGACCTGAGGCAATTTCAATTTCACTGGCAGAGAAAGTGCAATGCTAAATTTTCATTTTCTTTTCATCAATAGTATGAGAAATGTATGCACTATGCAACCAGCTATCTAATACAGTATTCAAAATATTAACCAATACTGTCACATCTTTTGACATTAAGACAGTCAAGTTTATTCTTTTAACTTATAAACTTGGATATGTATCTATACATATTAAACATATAAACCATAATGAGAATCTTTGTACCTTCAGGCTTCACATTGAATAAATAATTTAATTCAAATCACAACGTCTTTCAATGAGCATGATGGGAATCATTTTCATATATGTTCCATATCGATTCTTGAAAGGTCATTTGCAACTATTTTTAATCTGTCCTTCTGTTGACCTCTGACCTGGTCAGCTGCACCATGAAGGTCAACAATAAACTGCATTTTTCTCATGCTGATTTGGTCATCTGTGGTCGCTTCATCCAAATGATAACACTCTCTACAGTACGGGATACGCACAGTTGTCACTTCTGGCAGAGAAGCAAACACATGAATGAAATTTTTCAAAGTCATAGCACCGAAATTATTTTCAGCAATATTCATGTACAACAATTTCTTCAGATTCAATAAATGATGTGCAAGTGTCACCCAAATTTCATCATTAAGTTTTGTGTCCTCTGCTTCAAATACACACAGATTAGAACCGGCAGAAGAAAAAAGTTGTCCTAAACTCCGGGCACAGGCTGATAACGTGTTCTCGCTGATATCCAGTTCCTGAAGTCCTGAGGCATGATGGGAATGGGCCAAATAGGTCAAGTCTAAATTTGTTAAGCCACACCCACTTAACCTTAAGTACCTTAGTGATTGGTTCATATTTTGAAGTATATGTCGAAGTCTGTTCTTGATTCGGTTATTACTTAGATCTATTCTAGTCAGCTGTGGAAGTGATGCCAAGGTTTCCGACATTCTTTCACATACTGTGTCATTTTGATAAAGGTGGATTGTGTTACATGAGAGGTCCAATGCTGTAAGATTTTGAAAAGTTCTTAATTCTGGTTCCATTTTCACAAATTCATCACAAGTCAGTGAGTTGTACTTGAGTCTGATACCTTTCAAAGCCTGAAAAAGATTAAAGTTTACAAATGAGAAGGAAAATAAAAGTGTTGCTAAATCCATAGCTTCATTTAAAAAAAATTCTGAATATATCAAAATGTAGACAGTAAAACTCATTTATTATGAATTGATGCTTATAGCAAAAAGATATTCATTTCGCCTATCTTTTAAGCCTGTTCTATTTAATTTAACTCTATACAAACCCTTTTATCTATTTGTTTCAGCAGTATTGTAATTTTTGGTTCTCCGAGACAAGTAGCATCTAATTTCTCGATACATAATCTCAGTTTACTTTCTGGAAAGCCAGACACTTTTAGAGCTTTACATAATTCAGCATGGGTCTGATCAGAGGTAACAAAGGCATCAAGTTTGATCACCACTGAAAAGAAATAGGGTAAATGCATCATCCAAATTTAAATTCAAAGAAAACAAAAGTTGCTCTTTTCTTGCATTCAAAGGTGAAATGAGACGAAAATAACAAAAGTAATATTGTTGTTCACAAGTACATGAAGTAATAAAAAAAAATTCAAATTATTTCATCATAATACAACTATGATTGTAATACATAATTTCTAAAATTTGTATGTGCACCTCAGTCCATTGAAAATAATCCAATTTTTATTTTCTGATAGCAATTTAAAGAAGAGGCCCATGAGTCCCCTTATCTGCCAATTTCTTTGGCCCTGCTATTCTCAATAACATTGGTCCATCCTAAGGGCCATGATTTGAAATAAATTGAATCTGTATATAATTTACCTGAGAATGTCTGCATATTTTAAAACAATGATCATTGGTCTACTGGACTTGATAAAAATTTTGGAGAAATTACCCATATATTCCCATGTTCAGCTTTAATCCCCATTGTAGCCCTCACCTCCCATCCACTACGATGAACTTGAGACAAAAATTTTAAATTAAACTTACAAACAGACTCTGGAAGAGAATTATCTGCATGCATGGAGGTCCTGTTAGTTGGGAGGTACTTGATGGCTGTGTTGTACATATTCACCATTGCTGTCTGACGAGCCTCATTGTGTGCCAGCATGCAGTGTGTGGCCAGGTAGTATAGAATGACTTCAGCTAAATCAAAATCCTTGAATTAAGTAAAATGTCAAAAAGAAGTCTACAGAGATAAATGAAAGTCTAGATGGCAAAATATCTCTTTTTATTCGTGAGAACTTTATTTAGGCATCATTACACAAGACTGCCTGTAAAGTGTTTGCAAGATTCAAATGACCTTTGCTTTGCTGAAATGACCTTACTTTTTAAAAAGCTGATTGGTTGATAAGGAAAAGTGTGCTACACTTTGACTGTGCTTATTTATGCAGTATAATTTACCAGTAGGATATCCAGACATGTCAAGAAAACGTAACTCTGTGGGCATTTTCTTTTTGACACATTCCAGAAATGTGTGAGCCAGGCATGTTGTATATCGTAGTCCTTGTCTTACAATATCTGACAGGTAGTAAGTGTCATGTAGAGGTTGAAGCGAAGTAAAAATATTTGGAGTTAGGTCCCTTAGTACCAAAGATTCCATGTGCCAGCTGGATATCAACACCTCTATGGATCTATCTCTGTTCTCCTAAATTGAAAGAAAAACCTGCAGAAATATCTCTGAAAAGAAGCTAAAAGATATAGTTTCAATTTTAGTCTTGTGATTCACTTGTTTTTGGCATAACTCAATTTTTCCTGAGACAACTGCATCATTATAACGAAAAACCAATCTGCTCACTGTTGTAGGTATGGGGAAGCTATTATATCTTGACAAAAACTTGTGAAATTAATTCATGACTTTTATTTTCAGCTTCAGATAAAGTAAAAAATTACCCAAATATAAAGTTCTTGAAATAATCACAGTTACTGGGTGTTTGAAATGTATAAGATGAGTGCCCGAAAAAAATAGTGATTCTATACAAAGAACATTAGATACTAATATCTGATGGAGGAATATTAAGACTTAATACTGTAACGATTCTTAAAAGAAGGGATCTGATAAAATATAGAATACTATTGATAGATGCAAGACACTGTAACCATGGTAACTATATAGTACATTGTTTGATTTTGGCCGGGCTCATCGATCCTAGAGCAATATACAGCTCGCTTGTGTTAAGGTGTTCAATTGGAAATGCTGCTTCTTTACCACCTTATAATTCATGAGGAAGAATAAAGTACAAATGCGCAACCACCTTTGATTTTCTTTCTGCCTAAATACTAGACTACAGCGAAATGTATGAAATAAAATATATGATTATATGATATATACTTGAAAATTCCACTTAATCATTGTTTAATACCTTCAATGCCTCTTTCATTAAACACACACGCAGGTCTTTGGGAACACAATGAACTGTGTACAAAGTCAAATTTGAGTCTCTAACAATAAACTTGGAGCATATTTCAAGCAGAGAAGGCGTTGGTTTCCTGTTAAAACGACCGATTGCCGGGGCGGCATGTAGATCCAGAGGATACACAGCACCTTGGTAATTATCATACCAGAGTGTTGTCTGCATAATTGGATGTAAAACGGCCCTAAAAGCATGAACTCCTTCAAAATATCATATCTTAGGCTAAGCTCCCTTTTGGAGCAACAGGAATTCATTAGGTCGCGTTCTTAATCTTCGATGTTTTTAAGAATAAAGACATTTTTTTCTTATAAATCTAATGTTATTTTAGATATAACACCTATTTGAAATTTTAACTTGATACACTTTAATCTTCATGCTATCTCAAAAAATGAAATTACTCTGATACAAGAGGAGAAATGATAAAATACGAAGTTCTTCAGATTGAATTAATGAAAATTGTTTTGACAGCAACATGGCATTGTGCAAAGGAAAGTGGATATTTCAAACGTTGCTCGGGATATATAAGGAAAATATACAATTAAGGTTGTATTTTATCCCCAATATATTTTATTTTTTGAGTTGTTTCATTACATGGCATGTAATGTGACGAATTTTAAGATATATGATTTTGAAGACAGAGGAAATGCGGAATGAGTAAATCTTATAACTAAATATACTAAACAAAAGGCTCGCAATTTACTCATCTCTCTTGATTTACAGTTATTTCAGCACAAATCAAGTCCTTTCAAGTATTTACAGAAACAGACTATCCTCTACTCAAGAAAAGAGCGAATTAGATGCACTTTGCAGTGATGACAGACCACTTGAGAAAAAACCGATGATTCCAGCAAGATCTGAGGTGTCAACAAGTTTTACATATGATCCCATAGTTCAGTAAGTGTGAAACTACAAAATTTGATTTGCAGGAGTATATAGTCTTGTAGTGTTCCAGAGGTACTTGGCATGGACTGTCAGTGTCATGCCACCTCCAGTCACGAGGTATAAAGCGCACCTGTTGTGATGTATCAGGCCTTTCAAAATCTGCCGGTACCCGGTACTTTTACCCAGTTGGATTCATTCATGGTACCGGCCAAAATATTCAGTGGAGAAAAGAAAAATCGCGTGAAAATGCGATAGGCCCTACCATGTTTTACAAAAGTTGTGGTTACGTAGCTTTGTATTATTCTTAGTCCGTAATGGTATCTAATAACGTTTTTGATTGGTTAGTCAAGAAGATCATTAAAGCATTTGAATAAATGAAACAAAAGAGATTGCGTAATGCGTCTTATAGATCTTTTCGAAAACGAAAGTAGATTTCGATATCAAATTCCATCGTCACTGATTTTGACAAAAGCTAATGACTATGAATATATTTTAAATAAATACGGCCAAAAAAATAAAAAATAGGAATCCAGGTGTCGGAAATGAAAGTGTCAATTTAAAGCTATGGTGATGAGTTTCACAAAAGATTTTAAGATACAAGGAACTAGACCGCGGAAAGTCTTCAACACAATTGACCGATAGAGAGACCGACATGAACAGTAGATAGTTCTTTGACCACCTCTGTACATTTTAATAGCCTCAACTCTTCAAATTTAAGTGTCAAAATCCGCAGCTGACGATATAAATTACTTACAGTTTTAAATATCTGCAACTTTATGATGAAGCAAAAGGACATAAAACAAACTATTTCTTTTGCCACACATTTAATCCTTTGATTCAGCAGTTTTCTAGTGGTCAAGAAAATTACCTTGCGGACGTTTACTTTCTTCCCAATATATTGTAACCATATCCAGTAAAGTGAGGGAGTCATATCTAAAATTTTGTTTGTCTCCAGTCTTGCTGTCATCTTTGTCTAATTTACACATGTATATTATTTTATATGTACATGTACCAGTGCATGAAAAATATGCTGAATTTATTGGTACATGCTATGCATCATGTAGTGCTTCTTCTAATTCTTTTTAAAATCTGCACTTTATTGTAGAACAGAAATGAATTTAATTCAATGCAAATACAATTTCATTTCTCTTTTATTAAATTTAAATTTTGAATTTCCATTTCCTTACTCAATAATTTTTTTTATATTTAAAACATAACACTTACAACTCAAACCTTGCAAAATTTTGTTGAACAAATTTATATAAACAAATATAGCATAGACCTTAGAAGTTTTACCTAAATCTTATTGTTACTCTGCTCAAATAACTAATTTTTCTATGTAATTCCACCCATCCAGTGCTAAACGTCACATAAAATGTGTATTGACCAAAAATAAACTTTGAAACATGGCATAAAAATAACACTGATAGCAGCATACTTCTATGTGTCTAGAAACCAGGAAATGCGGTCTGGTGGCTTCTAAATTTCAAAAATTTTCCGGGGGGCATGCCCCCGTAATCTCAGCAAGATGGGTAGAGACTGAAAATTTGGACTGACGTACGTCAGTCAAAATTTTCAGTCTCTACCCATCTCGATGAGATTAATGCCCCCGGACCCCCCTAGCAGGCTCACGCCTTCGGCGTTCGCCATGTGGTACCTCCTATTTTTGATAAAGTACCACCTTGTTCAAATCTTTTTGAAAGCCCTGTGTATACCTGCAGTTTGTCTCTTTTCCCATTCCCTACTGCAGAGTGTCTTTGTCAGCTCCATTATTGTTGTATATATTTATTATAATTGCGGGCATCAATAATTAGCGGATTATTTTATCATAGTGTTTACTGTTTTCTCCGTTTCCTCCATCACTGCACTTGGGTATAGTAGTTAACAAAAAGAAACGCTATCATTTGATGTGTGTCCTGTCTGTAATAAATCTCTAGAGATAAACTCTAAAAAAAGAGTCACTGGAAGTAAGAATTTGAGACTACAAATGATACTAAATAAATGCTTATGCAAATAGTTTGAAGTCGGACAATCATATCAGTACATCTGTACTTTGAAATTTACATGTACATACATGTATATAAGTCTTTGGTAGAGATTGTACTTATTAGAAGTTTATTTGTATAAAGAGTCTTTCAAAGTTGACATTTTACAGCTATGCTTACATTTTGTTTTACCAGTATTTCATTCTTCTTTTATAGAAAATTCATAAACTTACTATTGAAAAATGGTGGCAAAGAAAAAGCAAGAGAAATAACAGAAGGGGTAAGTTTTCCAAAGCAACTTAAAACTTAATATTTACATTCAGTGTAATTTTCTTTATGAAGTCCATTAGAAATCCATGACGTTCAAATTTCTATAACACGCGAAACCTTGTCACCGCGCGTTAGAATACACAGTAGGAACTATATACATTTTTAATACTTTATGAACACCAAAATGTACATTGTTTGACACAATTTAATTTTAAAAAATTAACTCCATTGAATTAATGTAAAAATACAACAAATGTGCTTTAAAATCAATTTGTCACTTTTTCTCCTCGCAATGTTCGTTTGCGTTATTTAACTTTACGACGTCACAAACGGCTCTTACGTCTATAAAGCACACCAGTTTTGAAGCGCGCTAAATTCACATCAAAGATGACCGAAATAAACAATTATGAGGAGGAAAAATTAGAGAATGTAAATATAAGTATTGAATTCATATTTTAGGGATGTCTTCGGTCCTATAACACACCTGGCCGTGCCGACAAATTATCATACCGCGCTAACGCGCGGTATTCAATTTGTCGGCAGGGCCAGGTGTGTTAAAGGACCGAAGACATCCCAAAATATGAATTCAATGCTTAAATGACAGTGTCACTTAACAAAATAATTGTATGCAGAAACTTTCATTTTCTCTGTATATTTCAAGGCTTTGGAGCACATCAAGATGAAACAAATAGAAACTTATCACAAAGCAAAAACAGAGGCAGAAAAGGCCATGGTTGTCACTGATCCTATAAAGATTATTCATGGTGCTGTGGAAAACTGCAAACCATTAGTGGTTCAGAAGTCTGTCACAAAGGGAGGAACTTCTTACAGAGTAAGAAAAGGGTCATTGAGTTACCACAATATGGGTTATCTCTCTCATTTAGCTAGCACAATACAGATTATTGGGTGTCATAAGCTGGTATCTTACTCATTTACAAGAATATGATTCCTTTGGTCTTCATAGCCTAGTTTTGCAATATTTACCACAATCTTGGTCATTTGGTTGTCAAAGATATACTAGTATATCTCACTCATTTATCACAAATAAGCCATTGGGTTGTCATAGACTGGTATCTCACTCATTTACCATGGTATGGGTCATTGGGTTGTCAAAGTTTGGTATCTCACTCATTTACCATGGTATGGGTCATTGGCTTGTCAAAGTTTGGTATCTCACTCATTTAGCACAATATGATTCATTGAGTTGTCATACATTGGTTTCCCTATTCATTAAAAAACATATGGGTTATTGGATTTCCCTCTCTGTTGCCACAATATGGATCATTGGATTGTCTTAGACAGGTATTTCATTCATTTACCAGAATTTTTTCATAATATATCTTCTACATCATTTGACATCTTTTTTCAACTCATAGATTCCAGTGTACTGTCATGACAGGAGAAAACTTCGACTTGGGATCAACTTCATTATCGATTCTTGTCGAACAAAACGAAGAAGAGTTCCTATCCAAGTCCTGCTTGCTGCTGAGATTTTACAAGCTTACAATAATGAGGTCAGTATCTATAAATTGTCAAATACCAGTACAATATCCATATTGACAAAATGGAATCTCAAAACAGCTGCTTATTCAGTTTAATAAATTTGATTTTTTTTTCTCGCTCTCATTTTTCAGGGCAATGCTGTAGCAAAGAAGCAACAGCTTCATAAAGAATGTGAGGCTCAAAGAGCGTTTGCCCATTATAGGTGGAAGTGAATGATTTGAATAAATGATTGATATATATTTTGATTCTTTTTTCTTGTGTCTTGTAATAGCTATCTAATAGTATTGAACTGCAGAAATACAGATACATGTACTTGGCCAATGAAACATGCACACACAGCAAATATACAAAACCAGATATTCTATTAATATGGGTCAAGACAGATAAAAATGTGTGCATCAACAATGCTGAAACTAAAGTTAAACTTAAGCTCACCATCTATATGCATGAAGATAAAGTAGGGACTCAAAATCAAATTCTAAGGTCACTCAAGGCTAGAAGTCTGGGAAAGCACAATTGATGAAGCACTGGATGCATAATAACTTTACAACAGAGAACAAATATAAATATATTAATCTACTATGATACCAATGAACCAGATTTTAAGCTCACTCATAAAGCTGCAAGTCACTTTATAGAGCTATTTGTAAACTTAGCATGGTATCTAAAACTACTTGCACAACAAAAAAGGTCTGAAGCAAGACCTTCAAAAATATGAGGGCAATAAAGGTAGAGAAAGTAGATTAATGTAGGCAAAAAACTAAATTTTTATATCACCAACAGAACAATTTTAAAACACATTTCATTTCAATTCATATACATGCCCATGAAAAAAAAGGTTAGACACTGGTGAATAATTAAAATATAAGGGCAATAACTTTGCTGATAAAAAGTACACAAAGAATATATGAGCTATTCATCTAAACTTTACAAAAATTATTTTTTAAAAAGACATGTCGGATTGAAAGAAAGGGTTTAATATGGTACATGTATATTATTAGATCAAGAGAGCAACAATAAATTGGGGTAAGAATGTCAGACATGATATGTCAGGGACAATGCATATTGCAGCTTCTACACATACAGTAAAACATGCTTATAGCAAACACTCTAATAATGAAATGGTGCTTACAGTGAAGTGATTTTTATTCTTGTGGGCTCTAAGTAAAGCCGTATTGTGAATGTAAAGGATATAACAAATTAATGTATAATATATTGAAGTAAAATTGTCCTTCTTTGCAACTTAATTGGATATAACCATGTTTTTCTGGATCACTGATCTAAAAACCTAATACAAATTAAATGTTGCACAGAAATGTATCGCAGGTTTTCTAAAAACAAAAAAAAATACACTGATTCTTCATGTTCACATTGCTATGTTTATTCTATTTGCATCATATTTATACTCTTCAGCAATAATGATAATTTTACATATTTATGCTTTCCAGAAAATAAACAAGATTTTTAATGTATATTTTTAAAAAAAATTACTTTATTTATAAAAACAGTATTTTCTAATACACTGTATAACATTTTATACTTATACAATAAATCTAACAGTATTTAATGCAATGGTTATGTCTCTGATACAAGTTTAAATTTAGCTTTTAGAGGTATTGGGATAACATGAAAGAATTTTTTGTAAATTTCAAGTCCATCCTGTACTGGTCTATAGAGGGGGCTGTTTGGGTAGGGATAGAGTTTCTCACACGACACAACCACTGTACCGTCGGTCAGAGCAATCAGACGATTTGTCCTGTCTGTGTCCACCTACAAAAGAGAGTCATAAATTTAATTAATCTTCTCAAACCTTGTATTCATACAACAAGAAACAAAATTATGTACAAGCAAAAATTTGAATATTTGCCTTTTTTATTGTTATTTTTTCATCACTATCTATACATGAAGACAAACTGAAAAAAAAATTATAAACTAATTGTTACTAAGGGCATATGACTCCAAAGTATTGAGGCTACATTGCTCATTTTCAATATTCCAACTGCTCCTTCTGAGTTTTGATAAAAGAATAAGAAAACTCCATAATGAAGTCAAGGGCTGTTCTAAAAGGAATCTACTCCAATATGAGTAATATGACCTTGCAATCTATAGCTAAAAACAAGTAACATGACCAGAGAAGATCTGAATTTACACTAAATATCTCAAGGAAAATTTTTCGAAAAATATTTTCATGTCAGAAATTTACCATTTTTCTCACACCCTGCTCCCCACACATGCACATGTATTTGATATTTTTATAATTGTCCTTTTAACCCACTCCCCATGGCAATATTTAATTTTAGATTAAGAATATTTGAGCAATATTACTCGCGTCATCTACTCCTTATTAAATATCATTGATGTCTCTCAAGCAAAGGGACAATATCTTCCTGTGTGCATTGTAGTAATACATGTACCCTCAACCTGTGTCCCTATGACTTAAAATTGAGTGAACCATGATTTGATTTCCATTGATCAAAGGGTACCTAGGTTGTGGCAGATGTCCTGATAGGTTTGACTTGGCCTAAAATTCAATAATATATGTGGACATAGCAAGATATTGTCTCTTCATATCTCAAAAATCCTTTCCTTGACAGCATCAAAATTGTTATACTGGTGTCCTCCCCTCCCCAATCAAATGTGAAATACACTTGAACTTCCTAATCTTGAACACTCTTATTCCAAACACCATGCATAACTTGAAGTAATTTAGTAGTCCCAATCCCTTATTATTTAATCATTTTACCGTAGATATAATGAATTTTTGGATATTTATATTAATTTTTTTCATAGAAAAGGTATTGAAAGTTTGAAACACATTTTTCATATGATATAGCATATTCTTTCACACAAAACTGATCTGGAAAAAGTATTTTATTGACACATTTATGATTTTCAAGTAAAACTTACATTTTCTCCTGGATAGAATCTCAGCCCACACTGATTGACTAATATTTCTCCCTTGTGAACAAAATTGCCATCATTTCTTTTTATGCCGTAAGATTTTCCAACTGTGGCCCTTTTGCCTCCAAGGTTTTTCGACTTTCCTCCTTTCTTTTTGGATTTGTGTCTTACTGATGTCACTGCTGGCAATCCTATATACAAAAAAATAAATAAATAAATAAAATAAAATAACTTATTGATTACGTCAGAAATTAAATTGTGCATCTACTCTTGACCCAAAACTGGTATGTTGTTTGCTGATGTGTTTAGGCAAATCTGGTCTGTGAAATATATATTTAAGAAAATCTTTATGACAAATTCATTAAAATATGGCAAAATCACAATGCACAATCTTCCCTTTTTGTATGACTGCTTAAAGACCCAATTTTTTTACCGTACGGTTACCTGAGGAGGGGGAGTGGTCGAACTACTAGTGGTGTTATTTACCTTGAGACCCCCAATACCCAAGATGTCAAAAATCTGTGTATACGTAGCATTACACAGGAAGTCTGTGTTTGGTAATCAGGGTCATCATTACGTGTTTTGAGTGAAACTACTTAAAATAATTATATTAATATGAAATTTATTTGTATTAACGCATTCATAGTAATCATGGTAATGTTTTGAAGGGAAAAAAATAATAAGATACATGTATATCGTTTTAGAAAATGTTTTCCTTACATAAAAGAAAAAAAAATCACGAGTAAAACCAGGGACCTATATACTAAGTATATAGGTCCCTGGTAAAACCTACATATATATCTTTTTTAATCTTCAATAAAAGAAATCACTTGATTAAAAAAGTCTGAATATTGAAATAAAAAAAATCCACCTATCCATCGTGCATGTGAACATGCATTTACCGCGATCGGAATGTTTTTTTCCCCTGGCCAAAATATTCCATATTTTTGATTCTTCGTGTGTTAACAAAATTTTATTGTTAGAAAGATTTCTTTTCAGAATCGATCTCTATTAATTATTTTCACATTTTCATTACGTATATATACAGACGCTAGAGGAAATTCGAGCATTAATTCTGACATCAATTTCTGTACAACATCGTGCGGATTGTTGCCATAGTACAAAATAAAACATCTTTTAAAGCCTATGCTATGCCGTTTATTAGTGCTGAATATTTTTCTTATATCTCATTTCTTTAAAAATAATTCAAAAATCGTCGGACTTCCAATTACGGCAAAAAGAGCCGGTTTTTGTGGACGCGGATAACGTGGACGATTTAACACTTACAAGTAACAAACAGCAGTGAAAATAGAAAAGAAATATTTAATAACGTCAATGTTTTAATAATCTACTTTCAATTATGTTTTGAAATAAAATTCAAACACATTGGAGTTTTCTAACCCGCGTGTATACTATGCGGGTACATGAAAGAGTTTGACGTGTGACCAGGTAATTGTTTTCAAAACACCCAAACTCAGATTACCAAGAAGCACAGGTAGCTGACCTGTCAATCAAATCAGAAGCTATTGTTTTTTTTATGATTGACAGGCGGTAAATTATTGATCTTGAATCAGGTAGATTTTAGGGGCGTTAACATAAAATTGGGTGTTTAATATATTCAAGGAAGTATTCAAGGCTTTTAAAATTCTTGAAGAGCTATGGGGTTTAATTAGATTAATTCTATTTAAAAATACTTATGAAAAATAATTTTCTTTTCCCAAATTAAACTTTGTGATCTTAAAAAGTTGTTACTAAAAATGTATATATTTTTAACTTGTATATATTTTTAACTTCTAAGACTTAGTAAGAGATGGTCATTTGAATTTGCTTTATCCATAATTTTGTGTTATAAGTGCTTGTTAGAACAAAAAAAAAAATTGGTCAAGAATTTGATTTGTTAGTCGTCCAAATAAAATATTCATTGTGTTCATAAATTCACTGTTTCAGTGTTTGCACTGAACTGTACTGTAGCAATCATTCTACTTTCTACTAGCCCAAGGCAATTTCCCAAAACACGAGAAGGGGAGTGTTAATGACTTCAAAGTAAACTCCAAACTGAAACCTATTCTCTTTTGAAAAGTTGACAGCTCATCATTGCGCCTCTCAACTTTAAAACGACTGATGAAGCTTGACATTATTTGAAGGTGTTAGCAGAGACAATTCGAATTAATCAATATATGATGACATTAATCAAAACAGTTAAGTTATTTTTAAGGCTAAAACATTATCTGTACATATAAACCAAACGAAGAAGAGTTCTGTATATTTACCTAACGAAGACGAGAAGAGAAATCGATTTGATTCTAGAGACACTTGCCTCACCAAGGAGGCTGCCATTTTTAGGGTAAGGGTAAATGTAGAATTTTTTCTTTTGTGTGTTTATAAATTAGCAAGTTCTCAATTTAAAAAACTTTATTCTTCAAATTTGATCATAGAACATGTGTGATTGATCTCCGACTGCATATATATTTAATATATAACAAAACAGTAAAAGGGGAAACAATAGCGTTGAAAGGAGAATATTTTTTAACAGTTTGAACCCGGACATTATGGAAACTTTATTTACCGACAGTGTAATATTCATTCGCCTTAAGTTTTGTATGTAATTACTAAGTTCTAAGGTTTTGTTTATATATTTCTCTTATATATTGAGATACATTACAAACTATAATGTATATAGATACATTCTACTTAAAATACTCTGGAATATTATGTGAACTTTATGAACTATATTACGCGAGTTCACTTCCTAGTTTTAAGCGGAAATGTTCCAAGGCACCCATGATTGGCGGAAAAAATGAATCTTGATGACAGTGTGGCTCAGATATCGTCTATGTGTCCTTCTTTCACACATGATGAAATTAAACACGATCTATCCATCACAAACAGCGTTGAACGAACAGTAAATCGACTTCTTGACAGATCCATTTCTTATGTAAATGCTTTTTAAGTGATCGCTTCATTAGCTCACCTGATAAGCTTCGAGTTCCTGTGAACTTTTCTGATCACTTGTTGTCTGACGTCTGTACATTGTTCGTTTGTCTGTTGGTCGCTTGGTCCGGTAGTAAAATGCTTTACACTTTTTACTTCATTTCTAGAAGTACTGGTCCAGTTTCAACCAAACTTGGCATAGAGCAGCATTGGGATTTTTAAAATTTGGATTAAAAATTATTCAAATGAAGGACAATATCCTTTTAAGAGGAAGTAATCAAGAAAATGCAAAGATAGAATGGATTGAAAAATTTTAAGATCCACTGGTTAAAAAAGATGAATTTTGTTGTGAAAATTTAACGGCAAAGTGTTAATTCTAAATTCAAATCATGGTCTGCATGCTTATAGAGAGGCAAACAGAAAAGACTTTTCTCCAGAACAATTAGATTATTAGTCACACTGATTGAAGCATATCCATGTGCAGATAAAATATTTTGTTTAAATCATGACAAATGGGGGGGGGGGGCGAGAGTAGAGTCACAAGATGGGGTCAAAACTTTTTATGGGAATGAAGGAAGAAGATATCTTTCAAAGTCTTCTGAAGACTCACATTAGCATTATGTCCCATGGGCCTCTTTTATAAACCCCCCAAATCAGAACTGGACTCTAGATAGAATTTTAAGAATTTGTTGTTGTAAATTTAATTGTTGGTCTTCTGCAACATCAAAATTAAGAATTTATATAGGACAATTTTCAGAATTTTATAATTTACTGCAGTGCATATATAGCATATTTTACTGCAGTGAATATAATGCACATTTGTGTAACATTTCCAGACAGTGAAGATCAGTACACTAAGTCAAATTAAATCTTTTATTCAGGAAAATGAAGCACAGCCGGTGTTGGATTTCAGTAGTGATGATGAGGAATTACCTGTCATTTTCAATCCTTCTAGTAAACCAAATTCATGCAAGGCAACTACATTAATTAACATTCCATCCGTTTCAAGTGCTAAACCATCAAATGGACAGATTTCAATTATACTAGATAGTGATGAAGAAGATAAAGAAAGTGCTAAAATTTTAAATAAAACAACTAAATCAGCATACCATAGTATGTCAGACAGTTCAGAAGATGAATCCTGTGTACTCTCTTTGAGAGACAGAATATTGGGAAGTGTGTCCAACAACAGTTCTAAGCCTACTAGCGTTGAATCTAGTCCACTTTTAGAACCTATCTCTGCTTCAAAGAGGAAACATTCCTTAGAGAACAATGTGAAAGGAAATATTTTACATTCAGGAAATCTAAACAGTGAATTTATTTCAAATGAAGGAGAGTTTTCTGAGAGATCAGAATATAGTGATGGAAATACAGAAAGATGGAGTATGCGGAGTGAGAGCCAGTCTACTATATCATGTGTATCATTGTCTCAATCATCTGAATGCAGTGGTGGAGAAGTTATAAAGAAAAAGAGAACAAAGGAAGAAATTGCAATCCTAAAGAGAGAAGCTGAGGCAAGTATATGAACAGTTAAGACTTAATTTATTTTTAACAGTTTAAGGATTGAAGGTACAGTGCTTGAAAAAAATGATAGATTTAGACCTTCATTTGATACCCAATATACACAAATTAAACTTGACAGTGCACAATTTGGTTATAGAATTAATATGGTAGTTTAAATAGACTGCGTAATTTCTCTGTGTTACTTAAAATAATAATAAAATATTATATATGCCTAGTTCATTGAACATAAAAAGTTTATTTATGTACCAGTTCTTTTAATGATATAATAAATGTGGTGAGATTTATTTTACAGAACAGAAAGAAAGAGAAAAAGAAAGCAAGAGAAGAAAAGGTACTGGAGAAAGAGCAAGAAAAACAAAGAAAGGAACAAATTCGAATTGCAGAAAGAGAAATGAAGAAACAGATGGGTGGATCTAAAGACTGTTTGCAGGTGACATTGAAAATTTTGAAAACAATAATCTTCATGCTTTGCACAGAAATTTTCAGTCTTATGTTGTTTTTCATCATGTAAAAGTACATCTTGAACCAAACTTGCATGGATGAAGTAAATAAAATTTTGTTTTCTATAAGTACCTGAATCAAACTTTCAGGTGTTGGTAACTATAAGACCTACCCAAACCAAACTTGTGGATGATGCATTTAGGGATGGACACTCACTTGGAGGACACGGAGTAGCCATCTTCAAGTCATGTGAGACCCTGGGAATAAAATATGTCACAGAGGAACAGGCAGTACCCTTCAGTATCACATGGAGAAGACAAATCACCAGTATCAATGTGTCAGAAGAAAATCAGGTACCATTTACTGATCTTTTTAATACCATCTGCTTGAAAGTGGAAGGGGGTGGGAATATACAGTTATAGGAGTGTCGGTCTGTTTCTTTGTCCATTACATTCTGCCATATACTGTGCAATCACTAATGTTCATGGGGGTTAATTTTCATTGTTTTCGAGGTAAGGAGAGATCCACGAATTAATGACCACCACGGAATGTAAAATTTAACATGCATAACTATTCTTAACATTCTCCAACCACAAAATGAAGTCCCCACCAACCAATACTTTTTCCTCGAACCTTGAAAATTTGTGACTTTACAGTACTCATTGAGGAGTGTGAGGGTTCATTATTAAGCTCGGTGCTCACATTATTTCTAGCTTTATATAAAAATATTGCTTCATAAGCTGCATTTTGTGTAGAATGGCATATAGATTGTACTCTGCTATATAACATTACAGGTTAAAACTAAGGGGTTCAACTACTTGAGAGAATTTTGTTGTTGGGATAAATACTAAATAAAATATGATGTGAGATTTGCATTACTTACACTGATAACATTCCTGTGGCAGACTTTGATTCATACAGAACAGAAAGAAAGAGAAAAAGAAAGCAAGAGAAGAAAAGGTACTGGAGAAGCAAGAAAAACAAAGAAAGGTCTTTTTAGAAACAGATCCTGTTGTCTGCAGGTGACATTGAAAATGAAAAAAATTTATGCTTTGCACAGAAATGATAATATTGTGGTATTTATAAGAGTGTCACTGTGATACTTGTAATGTCAATACTTCCAATCATTATGTCTGACATAAATGATTTGGGAGTCCTGCTAAATATAGGTTACCTACTCTATCACTATACTGATATTTTCCTTTTTCTATTTCAGGGCCAGTATGGAGTGGAAAATGAAGGACCCACACTAAAGAGCTATGTACACACAATAAAACAACACATACCCAACTCCATCTTATCTTTTGTGGTCATAGGAATGGAAAAATATTTCAGGTTTTCAATGTTGTACTTTTAGCTATTATTAGCTTTATGAAATATCTGTGTTAAGTTTTTTTTTTAAAGAACTTGATGGACTGCATGCGTGGGAGTCCAAACAAAATTTTCTTCAAAATTGTTCAAATTTGCATAAATGCTTGATATAATCATCACTTACATTATAGTATAAAAGACAACAATCAACCTTAGTATAGTTTCTTTTTTATTTATATCATCGTAGTATACTGCACATTATGTCAACATGAAAATGTAACAAAAACAGTATGAAACGTTATAATGAAGCGGAAAGTAGCTTAAAACATAACAATTACATCAGATGAAATAAAACAAAACCTACTTAATATAAATAAAATCTCCTACAATATCAATCTCCAATGTTTTTTAAAGAACTCTGAAACATTTTGTATGAATTATAAGAAAAACTTTTAACTCTTCTTCTCCAAAACCATGCAGAGATCAGAAACAAAGCATCCAGGTAGTATAGATTTAACATCGAGCTGCGGCCACAATGGCTGTCAAAGTTTTGAGATATATGGACTTTAAAAAAGTTCTCAAAACCATTGGCAGTGTAAAAAGACGTAAAATGTGGAAGAGGTTTATAAGCTCTAGAAATAAATTTATGTTTAATGTTCTTTAATGAAAAAAATGGCATTGGATTTATCTTTGCAAGTTTCGAAAGATTTGAGAAATTCAAATAATTGGAATAATTTGTTGCCTAAGCTTTCTTCAACATGTTCATAGACAGGAAATATATAGGAAAAATCTTGAAAATTTCTTATCAAATCATAGCATATTGTTTAAAATAATCTTATATAGTATGTTATAAATGTTGAAAAATGCTTGTGTATTTCACAATAGTCTACATTTTATGTTTGGTGTTCCTTTGTAGGCTATAACAGACAACCAGCTGCATTACAGATATTAATGAATAATTTTTATCTATTTAAGGGCCAGACTTCTGAGGAACTTGCTAAAGAGCTATGTACGTAAAACCATATCTCAAAGGCAGTGGCAGAGAAACCTGCAAAGTAATTATTTAAGGATATTGAGAATTATACATGGATATATTCCACTTACATATAAAATCTCATTTTATATAACTGCATGTAAGCAAGAAATATGCTGTCCTATTATTACATCCTTACATGTAAAATCTTCTCGGCCTACTTGATTTAGGACACAATTTTCCAGTATACAACATAAAAAATAACAAAAAATATACCTATTGGAAAGTGCAGGTAAAAACAAAGATCTCTCTGGAAATATAAATGTTTTATAGATCTATAACTGTTAATTTACCCTTGACTTAGGTTAAGTGTGTTTGTTATCCATTTTGCTACGAAAACACTATCCTGCACATAATGTCTATTAATTAAAAAACTTTATTTCATTTACATGCAAGTACATGTATTTATATAATTGCAATCATAACTTTGTAAATTCAACTTTCCAAAAAGCCATTATTTATTTCTATGAAAAGATCCACGGCTGCAGTACCTTTCAGGGTTATTCTTTGATGATGGTGTATGCCACTATAAATACTTGTATTACTAATCATGGCTTTGCGTCTCCTGAAAGTTTGATATATTTTAAATGCAGCTGATGCAGTTTAAAAACATCAGTCCTGATATTGCTGATGCTATTGTTGTGGCTTACCCATCTCCACATCTTCTAATGGAGGTAACATTATATTTGAAAATTTTCCATTTACCATGCTGGGAGTTTTTCCATGAACTATGCTCTTCTTTCAAATTTTTTGTTTTCAGTCTGTCTTTTTTAGTCATATTTAAGTTACTTTTAATATGCAATTCTTGCATGCTGAAGATTGTATGTCATAAAATTATGAGAATATTGGAACTACATTTTTACTGTTGATTTGAATTTTTTTTATCTATATTTCAGGCATACAGAAAATGCAGTGATTCAAATGAACAACAGAAATTGCTGGAAAATATTGTTGTAAGTTTTAAATGGATATTATTGTAGGCCTTATTTTTATATTTGTAAATTTTAAGCTTACAGAATGTACATCATTGTAGGACCTTTATATAGATTATATTTATATAAATACATGTATTATGATTAACATTATACTTATATTGTTATTAGCTCATCTTTCCTGGCCCAGTGATTCTTGAGAAGAAGATTTTTGAAAAATGCCATTAAACTTTCATAATTATCTCTCTTTGTCATTGTTGTTGTCGTCCTTGTCGTTGTCATAAGGATACTTTGTGGCAAGTTTTTAAATTCTGGTTCTTGAGAAGAAGATGAAAATGTGAAAAGTTTACGACGACGACAGACAACGGACAAATTTTGATCAGAAAAGCTCACTTGAGCCTTCGGCTCAGGTGAGCTAATAACAATTACATCAGATGAAATACTTAAAACAAAACCTTCTTAATAATGAAATCTCCAACAATATCAATCTCCAATGTTTTTTAAAGAATTACTCTTAAACATTTTATATGAATTTTTCAACTTTTAACAATATGTTTTTATGCAGAGATCAGAAAACAAAGGTCCAGAGGAAACATCGAGCTGCGGTTCTGTCCAGTGAGAGAGTGGACACCAGCACCGACCCCGGCAGTGTCAACAGACTCGATGTGGAAGAGGTTTATAAGCTCTAGAAATAATTTTATGTTTAATGTTCTTTAATGAAAAATTTAATGTTCTTGGCATTGGATTTATCTTTGCAAGTTTTGAAAGGTTTGAGAAATTCAAATAATTGGAATAATTTCTTTCTTAAGATTTCTTGAGCTTGTTCAAAACAGGAAACTTTGGATAAAAAAATTTGCCAAACCAAATATAGCATATTGCTTGAAATAATTTTATATGGTATGTTATAAATATTGATTAATGTATGTGTATTTAACAATTATAGTCTGCAATACTATGTGTCTGATGGTCCTTTACAGGGTATAACAGACAACCAGCTGCAGACAGATGTTATGGTTTATCTATTGGAGACTTCTGAGGAACTTGCGGAGTTTGTACGCACCTTCTCAAAGGCAGTGGCAGAGAAACCTGCAAAGTAATTTTATTTCATAATGGTGTCAAAAACAGTCAATGAATGTATTCTACATTTATTGTAAGAAATTCACATTTCAGTAAATGTAATTTGAATTCAAGAAGACATAACTGGCATATCTTGAATCTAGTATCCATGTAGAGGAAATAAAATTTCTGTGGAAATGTAGATGTTTTATATATCTTCTCTGTAATTGGTCATTTATGACTTGGATTAAGTGTGCTTGTCATCCATTAGAGAAAAAGACACAATACTGTATACAATAAGTATTCAAAGGCATTAATTCAATGACACAGTCATGATTTCTTAAATCTAACTTTCCTAAATGACATTAATTTTTCTCCTAGAAAAGATCGCCTACAGTCTGCTGTCTTCGATGATGGTGTAGCCACAGTAAAAGTGGACAAGAATGGACAGGGTCTTCTGAAAGTTTGGAAGCAGCAGCTGATGCAGTTTAAAAACATCAGTCCTGATATTGCTGATGCTATTGTTGTGGCTTACCCATCTCCACATCTTCTAATGGAGGTAAAATTATTTGTTTGGAATTTTTCCATGCATTTAGCTGTTCATCTATAATTATAATCTTTTTTCATTCATTCAATTTATATTTCTTAGTCATATTTCAGTTACTTTTAATATGCAATTCTTGCATGCTAAAGAGTTCTGGTCATAAAATTACATGAATATTGGAATGAAAGTTTATATTGTTGATTTAATAATATCAGGCATACAGAAAATGCAGTGATTCAAATGAACAACAGAAATTGCTGGAAAATATTGTTGTAAGTATATGGATATTTTTATATGCCATATTTATTTTTGTGAATTTGAAGTTTACAGCTAGAATGTACATCATTGTAGGACCTATAAAGATCTTATATTTATAACTTATAATACTATAGCTGTTTTCAAAATTTTACAGTGATATTTTTTTCACAATTACAAGGTAGTAACTTGATGGATTAATCCTCATACTTTAGGGCTTAAGCATGTGCTTTGTGTCAAATGGTAGCATTAAGGGGTTAGGAGTTAATATTTTTTTCCCTTTAATAAATGCCAGGAATTTGCACACTTGGCAAATCCATAGAGTTTGTGCTTGACTGACCCTTAATATCGACATTTTAAATGAATTGTTGATCTGATAATCTTGTTAACTTTGGTTTAATTTCATGAAAAAAATGATATAAGTTGTGAAAATAGTGAAACTATGATCTTTGTATTCATTTTCTAATCTACAGTGTATTGCTGCAAATTTCACAGTCATGCATGTCTCTTACATGAGTAGCTTTTTATATTGTAACTGTGAATACCAGTATTGTAAGTTATGTACATGTATCAAGCTTATCATCTCATCCTTTTCCTTCACACTTTTCTAGCATGCAGAAAAGTTGTGTTACATGAACTCATGTTGCTTATAAACTTAAATTGCATTAATGAACTTTGAAGATATTAAACTTTTAATATTAAATCATCGTTCTGTCTTCCTTACAGGTAAGAAGAGGAGCTGGGGTGCTGGAGACTTCTCGCAGAGTGGGAAAAGAGATGTCCAGGAGAATCTACACTTTTATGCTCAGTGATAATCCCAATGAAATTATCAAATAACACTTTTGTGCTCAGTGATAATCCAAATGAAATCATCAAATAATGTGATGTGCATTGATGAATAGATTTATCAAGCATGAACAACCCTGAAACAATACTCTCTTTGTCATTTTATATCCATGTGATTTTTATTGAATTAGACTTTTTAAATTTGCATGGAATGTTCTTATTAATGGATATCTAAATAAACTGTTTTCACATGATCAATATTTTTTTTTGGATTTATGTAGAGAATGTTATAATCTTATTTATACTTTATTAGATTAATATTCCATCTATACTTTGAGCAATGCAACAGAATCAGAATATTGCAGTCATCCAAAATTATCCGTTTGTTGACAACTAAAATTTTAGCACATATGTTGCAGAGATCATATATTTTTAAAAATGACACAGTGAAAACTTAATTTAACACAAAATCTAAAGTGATTAGTATATGAATTGTCTTCCGGGCAACATGAATCTCCTTCAAGATCATGGCAGAAACTAATTATGGTACATGTATTTAACTGTTCTTCGCAGAATGTATAGACAACTGCTTGGAAACCCTTTCCTTGGGGTCTCTTAAATAATCTATGTCTGTAAAAAAAGAGACTGTGTAGGATACACAATAAAAGCCATAGACTTTAAAAACCTGAAAATATGAGTCCCAAAACTAGAAGGAGGAGTTAGAGAGGACTTATATGTAGACTATACATATAAACTAAGTGAAGCTACCAATAAATTGATGCTTTATATCTAGCTTTAGCTGTATTTCCTTTCATAAAACTTTAAATATTGTTTTTTAAAAGAATTCAATCCACTGCATTCACTGGCCAACTATGGCACATCAAATTCACAAAAATGAGCTAAACATAGTTTCACAGTCGATAAACTAGGTTTATCGGTTGTAAACTATAGTTTACGGACTGTAAACTATAGTTAACAACGTTAAATATATTTACATCCGTAAACCATAGATAACGCGATAATCTATGTTTTACAAGCGTTAACTATAATTAACACTGAAAACAATCATTTGCGATTGCAAAACATAGATTATCTGATAAATACAGTGTCACGATTTGTAAACTATAGCTTACAAACCGTTAACTATAGTTAACGATCTGATAAATATAGTTTCACGATTTGTGAAACTATGATTAACAACTCTTAACTATAGGTTACGATTGTAAACTATAGTTTACGGACGTGAATCTATGTTTATCAACAAAATCTATTGTTAACGCTTATTACACTCTTAGATGAATTTAAATTAAAATAAAAAAAACTATTTTTAACAACCGTTAAATATATTTTCAGATGAAAACTATACTTAACTAATTGTTAACTATAGTTTACGGTTTGTAAACTATACCTTTTTAAGGTCTGCTTTCATAAAAACCTAGTTTATCAAATGTGAAACTAGAGAAATATAATGTTTTTGATTTACATGAATTCTCTCTGTAGCCAATTCTAAACCTTTTCACAAATTAACCACTTTCGTTGACCAAAGAATTACATTAGATTGAATTAACAAAGAAATATAATATTTTTGAGAAATTAAATACAAAATAATCATATTTGGTATAATTTTAGGTAGTTTAGGGGCAAATGAAAAAATTAAAAGAAATGAGAGGTTTTTCAGTTTTTGTAATCAAAATTACTTTATATTAAAAAAAGGGGGGGGGAAATCTTACCAATCCGGATTCTTACCATTTCCAAGTCGGTTTTTAGGTAAAATATATTACCCCCTATAGCATCGAAAAGAAAATATTATTTACATTTCATTATTTTACATGGATTACAATATTCTGAAATTATTTCCAACTAAATATATGTTGAAAGTAAATGCATGCCAGTCAACTGCCCGAAAACGTTGGACTTGTAAGCATAATTTTTGTTGAGAGAAATGTGTTGTTTTAAGCGGCCCTATTAGAGTTGTCAACTTCTGCGATGGACTTGCCACGTTTGCGATAACGGGAAAATCATTCAAAAACAAAAATGATTTATAGCTAATGCTTTATGTAAGTGTTTAAGAATGGTAGCGATGTTATTCATAAAGATGTTTGTTTGATATTTTAAGCGTTTGTAAGCTGGGTGTGTCAATACATATGGAAGAAATCACTTTCTCCGACTTGACTTGATTCGCCGAACTTTTAGTTGAAAAGTTTTCACACAGTCCTACAGTTAAAATAACCACCTTTCTTCGCGAATTCATTGTAAATATCTTTGAGACAATCATGCTTAGTATCAGATTTCTTAATTAATACTGAGAGGTAGAGGTAAAATAAAAAATAGTGAAAATCAGATGTGTACCACAGAATAATTGGCGTCATGACAAGTCACAATCTTTGACAGTTTAGATGGCAATATATTTGTTAACTCTTTGGTGTGCAATGATTTAGCCTCTGAAGTTTTATTTTACTCAGTCTGTTTTGAGCATCCTCATCAGTCTACTAAGTTAGAATACTCTGTGTCTCCAGAGTTTTATATGTCTCTGGTGTCTCTCAGGACCAGCACAATGTCTTGATTAAGCTATATAGCTTGATTTAGCTATATAGCTTTATCAAGCTATTCGGAATAGCTTGATTAAGCTATTTTATCACACTTCTTTCTCAAATGTTTTATTTTTCAGCATGTGCAAAAAGTCGCACCTTGGTGCAGTGGGAATATCAAACTTTGAACTCTTCTGAATACAATGAATGTAAAAATCACTCACCAAATTGCGTCTCCTCAAGAGACTTTGTACTCAAAGTTTTAAAAGTTTGGGGGCTATTGATGAGTGACCACACAGTTATTTCTTGAATGAAATTATAAAGGAGGTCAGTTATGGCCAACAGGATAATTGATTGGTAACAGTTCAACACAATGAGAAGCAATCCGATCCACGCCTCACCGCACTCAATATAAAAGTGCAGTTACTCAAACATATGGAAATTCATCTTTTGCTTAAAAGTATTCAACAACAGTAATGTTAGAACTTTCTATGATTTAGTTTGTATTTTTGATAGCCAAAAGTACATATATGCATAGTCAAATACTTGCGACTTTTTGTTTATTTCTTACTAAAAAACGTTTTTGTTAAAAACTACATATAAATAGCTTTATTTAGCTATTTTAAATACCGTATAATCCCTATTAACCGCCCCGGGCGGAAAATTGCGGAAATATTTTATGCTTGCTAAATTTTGAACGTCATATTTTAGCTTCAAGAAATCTTTTGAAAAAAAAAAACAAATAACAGAGAACCACTAAAAATTGTCTAACCTTCCTTTAAATTACAATAATCCTTCCAAATTATGCTATATGACTCATTTTCCCACTTCAAAATTAAGGAATAGACAAAAAAGAAGGAGAACAAATTTTGTACTTGTATGTTTAACTTTCACTTCCAGAAATACATGATTAGGTCGTTCTAAAAATCTTTTACTTTCAAGAATATTTTATGTATGAGTTACCTAATAACAAAGTTTCATTTTCACTTTCTTCATTATGGCGGACTTTTGATACGATTCTGGATGATGTTGATCACTATAAAGGGGGCCCTTATTTCCTGACAATTGAAAAAGACCCAGGGGGCGCTTATAGGGGTAGGGGCGGTTAATAGGGATTATACGGTAGCTTAATAAAGCTATATAGCTTTTTAAAGCTAATTAGCTTAATCAAGCGATTGTGCCGGACCTGTCTCTGGCCCTCGCCACATTCAGAATACGTCCCATATACTTGCAATAAAGCATATCGGAGCAGATCTGATCTGAAATAATTTCGAAGAATACAAAGGGGTTGTGCTGGAAAAAAAACTGTTTAAGATTTGAATATGCCTTTTATCCCTAAAAAAAATCCATGTGAAGACAAAAGTTCAATATCCCAACGTTTTTTTTCTCACTTCAAATTTATATTTACTCTCTGCACTGTTCATAGTAAAAGCTCTAAGTTTGAGTTATCGCCTGTGTTTATTCTCCTACATTGTCAATACACAGAACAAATTCTATCGTTAAGCCAGGTTCGTAGGACAATATCGTTTTAACAATAGAACATTTTTTTGGACATGCCCATAAACGCAAGTTCTGTAGACATACCTTTTTGCCCGGTATTATGCTATATGCATGCAGGTGTTCTCTAATTTTAAAGGGAACTCGTGCATTTAAAACACAGTCTCAGTCCAAGTAATCTGTGAAATTAATAGATTATTAAACATAATTTGCAATTCCAAAGAATCATGGCCTTGTGAAAAAAGTTAGTTTACATTATGTGAATGTGTGAAGCACAGCAAATATATAATATATATACTAAAAGTCTAAAAATTTATTGAAGACCAGTTGACAATACGCCCATTTCTAAACATTACACATATTTTAATATGTAGTTAGATTGTAGATTAACATGCTATGCTTAATATCTAAATGCTTTACTTCTTGAAATATTCAAACGACTACCTGGTACATGTAACCTTCAACATTGCTCTTATAAATCAGGTAACAAAAGATAGGAAATATTAATTAACCAACAGATTTTCAGAAAGAGACATATCTAATGATCTTTTATGTCTATACTTTACCTGTAAAGATATATTACTTCTCTGTCTATTTTAAAATTCCTTGTTGTATACAGTTTTCTTTTTCAGACAAGTTAAATGATCATGATGTCACGGTGTACTTGGTAGATCAAAGATTAACAAAATGTTGAGTAGAGCATCCCATACAATAGCATTATGTTCCATCGCCAACTTTATAAATTCAGCGGACAGAGTGATTATGCCCATTGCTATTGTTCCTATGGCAGATGAGTACAAATGGGACTTGCATGGACAAGGATGGGTGCTTAGTTCTTTTGCTGTTGGCTACATGAGTAGCCAGGTGAGATTTTTATTTTAAAAAGCAGTTTTCCCCTTATTATGCTTATTCTATAGAACATATGTTGAGAAAAAATTATTCTGACATAGATTTTCTATATCTGTCAGTGGTTCTGATTTCATTGATTTTGTGACTGTTTTGTTTTATCACATTTATCATGTTTTTATAGATATAAATGTAATGAAATATATTACTGTATAAGTGGAAATTTTAGCGAGACTCAAATTTAGCAATCAATCGTTTAAAAAAAAAAATGGTATTTTATTTTCAGAGATGCAATTCATGTAGTGGAATTTTTTATATTCAAAGAATCTATTACAAATAAAACGCAATTAATTTTTGAATTTCAAATTTTGGGAGTGCACCCTTGCTAATAATGCGAAAATTAAATTCTAAAAATTCTGCTTATACAGTATCTTCTTACCCCTGAATATGATCATGTCTGAGTAATGAATTCCATTTATGGAAATACTTTCAAGAGTCTTGCATTTATCTAGTAGTGAAATAAATTGTTCTTTATGATTATTTAAAAATGATTTCTTTGTACATGTGATCCTTGGAAATTTCAGGTAATTGGTGGGAGTGGGGCCAAAAAGTATGGAGGGAAGATGATGCTCACCATAGCGGTACTACTGTGGTCTTTGTCAACGTTTCTCGTCCCCTTCTTTGCTCATTCCATTTATGCATTAATACTTTCAAGAGTCTTGTTAGGACTTGGAGAAGGATTAGGTAATTTGTTCTTAAACTGATTTATTAAAGTGTTTTTATCAAAATATACTTGTGCATGTCCAATCATTTAAGACAGAAAGTGAAGATTTCACAGAAAATGCCATGTTTATATAACATTCTCCAAGTTAAAAAAAAGGATGCATTACCAAATACTGTTTATTTTAATTTTATTGCTTTTAGGATTACCAACAATTTTCCATATTTTTTCTCATGCCATTCCATGTGAAGAGAGATCTAGGGCCTTTGGTTATTTGGTTGCGTTTGGTTCTATTGGACAAACTTTTGCATCAGTGGTAAGCAACATTTCAAGCACTTCACATATGGGAATAATACTAAATTATATTCTAAATTATGAGAAATGCCGCATGCCACTTACATGGTATAAAACTTTATTTTTGATAAACAAGAAGCATTGTATGAAATCATGATGACAAATTATATTGAGTAACTAAATTCAGTTGTTTTTGTTTTGGTTTTTTTTGCTGAGATATTAAGTTTTCTTTTTCACATAGTCGGTAGATTATTTTCATAAAGGAAATTCTTTTTATGACAAAAGTTTTGCACCAAGAACAAATTGTTGATAATAAATGTAACTTTGTTTTCAGCTGTGCCCTCACCTGGACTGGGAGTGGATGTTTTATTTATTTGGCTTTATGGGGTTTGTGTGGGTTTTATTGTGGATTCTGATGTACAAAGAAATTAGAACGTCCACGGAGGAAGATTTTGTTGATCCTCCCAAGGTAAAAAAAAAAAAAAAGGTCATCTACCATCTAGCTGTTATGTGGAAAAATTGTATGTTGCTGCATTTTTTTTTATATATTTGAAAATTGATACCCGTGTGTCAGAAAAATTAAATGCAGGTATGAAAAATGATTTGAATTTGAATTTTGCTTTATTTTGTCAATTCTGTATGTATTTTCGGGATAAAATTTTAATATGTATTCCAAATAAGGATGAAACACGTAAATTTACTTTTTAAACATTAATATATTTTTAAATATGTCTTGTTTTTGATTTCTCATATTTATTTGTGTCTCCTTTAATTCTACACAGGTCAACAATAACAATGTTTCATGGCGAGAATTTCTCTGTCATTGGCCGCTTTGGTCCATTTATATTGCTCACTTTAGCATGAACTGGTCCAATTATATCATCATGCAGTGGCTGCCAACATATATGACTCGAACACTCGGGGCTGAAAAGAGCCATATCATGTTTACGGCCGTGCCTTACATCATGAATTCTTTAGTCGGGATGGGTAAGAATATTTTGTTAACAATTTTTTCAAGAAATTTCCCATTATTTTTTTGTAGTTTAGTACATTTAGTGAATGATATAATGGTAACAGAATTGTCATTTTAATACTCAAATATTATTATTATGAACAACTGATTCAATGAAACACATCTCAGAGCCAAAATCTGTAGAAAACTAGAGTCTGCTATGGATTGAGCCACTTGACATATTTTTCTGACTTGACCCTTATTATTTTGTTTTCTTCAGATGGTATTTTTAATTCATGGTTCCTTTTTATTTTTCAGGTGCTGGACACTTTGCTGATTCCCTGATAACCAAAGACAAGTGGACGTTACTGTCGGTGAGGAGGCTAATGACCAGCATCGGCCTTCTGGGACCTGGATTATTTATTTTATTTTTCAGCGCTGTAAATAATTTATCACTTGCTGTTTTGTAAGTACAATTTCTAAATTTATTACCTTTTATCAACATTTAAAGAGTTATCCATTCCTTTAAACATAAGAAAGAATGTCCAAATTGCTTCTTGTATATAATGTTTTGCTATATGTTAAAGGAGTTCATTCTTCTATATAAAGTTGAATAGAAATAGAGTATTCTTTCTTAAAAGTTATCAAGCTTTAAAAGTTTTATTTTCAATTTACATGAAATGAATGCAGAAAATACTAGAAGATTACACGTCATCTATAAAACAAAATATGAATCATTTTTACATTCCCTGTCTGTTTCCAGCTTTGTTTCCCTTTCTCTCGGTCTAAGTGCTTGTAACTCATCAGGACATTTAAGCAATCACGCAGAAGTGGCTCCTAATCATGCTGGAATTACTTTTGCCATCTCTAACACATTGGTAAGCTACTTTCATTGCCATACTAAAAAAAAAAAAAATACATTTTTTGTTGTATTAAAGATTTTGACATTTACAATGTAAATGCCAATCTACTGTTTCTTTTTACATCAAATTGAAAGAGAAGATTCTTTTTCAGGCCGAAAATAAGAGCAATTTTTATCCCAACAAAATTTTATATGGATTTAAGTTTGTAATGTATGTACCTGTTTGTGATGGTATGTTTTTTTTAAATTTTGAGTTTGATGATTGTTTTTATTTCTGTAGGCAACAATTCCTGGTATCACGTGTGGTCCGCTGACGGCAGAACTTGTTCTCCAGAGTCACGGTCGATGGTTTCCCGTGTTCATCATCGCTGCGGGAGTGAACTTTGTCGGTGCTATTATTTACCTTAGTCAGAGCGCAGCCAGCCAAGTGTTGTAGACTCAATGTGTCGTTTTTATGATCAAAAACATGAAAATTCGAACTTAATTCCAGCCATTGTTTTTGCAATGTACTTGAAGTCACTTGTTACTTCATTTTCATCTGTTAAATGCAGAATGAATGTCATTTTTTAAACAGTTTAATGTGTGTTACATGTACATGTATGTATAAGTTGTGTTATGTATTAGGTAGGGCACATTTGGTGCTTGCTTTGGAGAAAATGTTTAATGTGAACATTTATTTTTTAGTTAAATTTTGTGCTGAACTGTTTTTGAAAGGTACATTGTATCAATACTCATTATTCGAGATATGTTTCTGTGATGAGAGCATTAGTTTTTTAGATTTCAATCTAATCCTGCTTTATTTTTCAAAGGTGGCATTTGATTGTATATTTATTATATGTACATGTGTACAAAAAAAATATTTTTTTATGTGAATGTAATTTCAATTTCTCCAGTTAAGGATTTATAATTGCCAAAAGTTTGTTTTTGCTTAGGTTAAAAAAAAGTAATGATCATGTTTTTTTGTTTTTGAAGGTATGGTATGCAATACCCTCTGAGATTATTTTATGAACAAAATGCATTTTTGTTGATATTTATTTTTGTTGTTTTGATTTGCATGTATATACATGTAAAACATCCCTCCATTTGTTGAAGCAGGGTGTATTTTGTCCCGGAATAAGAAGGGAGATTTTATGAGAGTTACAAGTGTCACATCCCCCCCTTCTCCTTTACTCCTTTACTAGTTGGTCTTAAATGTCATTATTTGTTTTGTTTTTTTAAAAGTGTTTCTAGCTTAATATCATATGTTTAATGCAAAGTGGATTTTATTTAAAAAATACAAATAAGAAAATTTATCTTTAAAGATATCTAATGTAGGAAATGTTGTTAGCTTTATATTGAAAAGAACAACTTTTGAATGTACATGTACTTTTATTCACTGCTCGTTATTGAAATTAGTAATTTATCCTTATCTTAAAACTAAGCTTGTAAGGTATTTTTAAGAAACAGATATAGTTTTTAAATGATATGAGCTCATGCAGGTGTGAGCTACTCTTTAATCTGGTTGAAGAGAGAGCGATCATAGGCAGTTATGCCTGCTGTTCAATCCATTTCTATGAATAAAGATATTTTAAACTAATCTGGTTGAAAAAGGATGTAAATACTAGGGCTGGGACGATACACATCTTTCTTCATCGATACGTATCACGATATTTGAGCCACGATACGATATGTATCACGATATGTTTAATTGCTTATAAAATCTTTTTTTGCATTGAAATAAACAAATTATTTCTTTGCAAATGAGAATAATTTATTCAAAATAGTTGTTTATATGTTGTAAAACAAAAACATTTTACTCAAGTGGTGTTAATTATTATTTATTTCATTTCTATATTTATATTTAACTTATTTATTTTATATATTAAACCCCAAATGTTAAATAAACAAAGAAAAACATAATGTCAGATTTCTTGGGGGCGATATTTTTTCAAATGTATCAATATGTGTATCATCCTCACATATATCACGATATCTCGATATATCGTCCCAGCCCTAGTAAATACCCAATATTGCCATTCCCTTCTTAAATATTTGATATTTAAGGTTGAAATTTCCTCTGTTCTCTGAAATAAAATGTTGCTATATAAACTCGTATGTTTTTTTTCCAACTGAAAATTATTATATGCAAAATGTCAACAAATTTAACATAGCATGCTGGGTAAATTGGAAAAAAAATATTAAGGTATAATAGCCATTAAGATCTCTTTAAACTCTTGGAACTTACAGTTCATTGACTGTCTGTTAAGGGAATTAACTCTATCTGAGATAAATGTCTGTGGTTCCTCTTTGAAATTGTCAGCTTGAAATGCCATTTCTATTAGATTTTGCCTTGCAAAGTACACTAAAAATATGTACAAGCATAAAATGCCGGTTTCAATTCTTGTGATAATGGTGAATTTCCTATGTGATGTCTGTGAGGAAAAAGTCATGTTGTAAGAAAATTTAATGAAAAAAATAAAATGTAATGAATATTTGTACCTTTTGTTTGTGTTTACTAGTGAGCTATACATTACAATATACATGTATCTATAAACATGATAAAGCGTTTAAAGACAAAGTTGTATTTTCTATCCGAGTGAATTTTGACATACTTGTTCTTCATAAAAGTTATCTCTCTTTGTCCATGGATGTATTGCCTCCACATTTTGCACTTTTCATCAAATATGTTTTATTCGGTGTTGACACTCCCTTGATCCCCTAACACTTTGCAAAATAAAAATGACACTAAGATCCAACGGATCCACCCATATTATTACATGTACTTATATAACGGAAGGAGGTTGGATTTTTTTTTTTACCTGAGCTATACCAACACAATAAGTATACATGTGAGTGATACATGTATGTCCATTTCCTCGATAATTAAATAATCGAGTATGACCATGTACAGTGCAATCACCCTTAAATGCGTCATGTAGGCCTATGGATGTAGGATTATTTTTCAAAAGGAGGGGTTCCACGCCAACTCAAAAGTATCGGATTTTGAATTATTTTTTTTTTTGCGAATTTCTCGAACCTTTTCGGGAAAGGGCCGGCTTCTTCATTCATTAGATACAAAACTTTTCCGACTTCGAATCATTTTACGAGGGGCCCGTGTCTTATGTGTGAGAAGATGTTTTTTTCTGTGGCACTTTGTATAGAAATTTATAATTGAAAATTCCAAGGGGTGGTCCAGACACACCCTGACCGCCCCTCTTCTTGCATGTGTTGCAAATTTGTTTCAGTCATTTGAAGCAAGAAACAATACTTTTTTTTCCTTGTAAAAGCATTTTTTAAATTTCATATCAAACCGCAGAAATATTTTTAAATAAGACAGACGTAGTGTAGAGGTACAAAATATAGTCGTGTAAGTACTTTTTGATTTGGAAGATTGCAACAAAAGATCGTGACAATGCTCTCATTTCAACTTCTCATGATTGTAGAATTGGCTGGCTATCGATTGTGCACATGTATCATCATTCCCTTGAACTAATATTTCTCAATTAGCATGTTTTAAATTTTTGTACATGGAAAACCCCACAAGGTTAAGGGTCCTTTGTAATCGTTGGCCTACCGGGAGTACTTGGTTGTGGTTCCATGACCACGTGTGGCCCATAACATGGCGAGGATTGGCTCTGGATCGAAATTTTAAGTCCAAAAATATGTGGATTGACCCACAACGATTCCATTATATTGCCAAAATATATCATTTTTTGGCAACGTGAGTGATAATTTCTTGTAACATCTATGGTATAAATTATTAAAGGACATTATCATGTGTTCAAGTCACAAGAAGACAATTTCGATATTTTACAAATTTTATTGTATAAAAACATGTACATGTATAAATAGTAAAGCACTCAAAAACATTCACACCACATTCATTCACATAATTTACAAATGTTAATTTATTTGCCCTGGTTTCCTAAGAAACCAAAAGACGATTGTCCTGAGTTAGATCCGCCTCCAAAATTATTTGAAAACGCTGATCCGCCCGTGTTAAAGCTATTTCCACCCCCTAGACTAGATCCCTGATTGTTGGAGGGAGCTCCCTGATTTCCACCGCCTAAACCAGTTCCCTGTGTGTTGAAGCTATTTCCCCCTCCTGATCCTACTCCCTGTGTGTTGAAGCTATTTCCCCCTCCTACTCCCTGTGTGTTGACCCCCGTCTGAGTTCCCTGCGAGTTTACGCCGGTCTGGGTTCCCTGGAGGTTTGAATTTGAGCTAGAGCCTGAAAATACAAGACAGAGGTTAGAAAACATATTTTAAACTCATTTTTTCGATAAAGTCAATTTCAAACAAGTTTTCAACCCCTCCATCCCCACCCACCCCCCCCAAAAAAAAAATTAGATACAAATGAAAATCTGTACTGTACGGTTTTCTAAAAGATATACATGTACATAAAATTAAACCGTACCATATTCAAAATTTTGAAACCCAGTATTTTTTTCTAAAGATACCTACTTGAGCTTGGTGTCCATGCTCCGCCGGACATGACCATCAGATCGTCCTCGGAGTAGGGGGTTCTCCAGTTAGCGGGGCTGGCCCGTCCGATGGTACAGCAGGCAATAGGGGTCCGTGCGTTACCGTTCTGTAAACTGGCGGAGTTAGTACCTGTGCCCTCATCATCTCGCTCCAACTTAACCTAGAACATAAAATTTATGATGTTTAAAAAAAATTACTCCATGCGCTGCGTTGCTTGAAAACAACTTTTCTAAAAATTTAGAAACATACTTTTGAAAATAATGACTACATATAAAATATTTATTCATGTACAGGAGTTATCGACCGTTTTCGAATTAACATTTACAGTAAAATTTACAGTAAACTGTTTGAATTGTGTGCTTTGAAAATACTTAGTATGAAAAATCCTCTTACCACCAATGATCGCCCAAGAATACTGCCCTGGCCCTGAAGGGAAATGACCTCATCTCTAAACTGTGTGGAAGCAACGCCTTGGGCTGACTGAAGCATGTTTCCTAAGTCTCCAACATGACGCAAGCTAGAAATATGAAAGGACAGATTATTTAACAATGAAAATTAAAATCAACAAATACCATATGTTACCATCCAAATCGGAAAAAAATATAACGATTGAAAACATATGTTTACATATACATATGCATATTAACTTTGATTGGCGGGATTATCATTGGAAGGGCGTTGGGATTAAACATTCTGACATTGTATATTCAAACATGTACTTACAATGGGTAGCTGTTTCGGCCACCGTGGCGGGTCTGGGTGGGGTTGAAGTGGGGTCCCACACGGGAACATCTTTCGCCAGTATCTCCGAATTCGTGAATGTGAATTCCTCTCTGGGTATCTACGGGGGAGGTAGGGAGTCCCACCAGCTGAATTCTTATGTCCACTCCTGAATCGCCAAACAACTGGAAAAATAAATAAATAATAAATTCTTCTAAATAATTGTGTGTTTTTCTACTTCAAAGTAAATTTTCTAGATTTAAATGAATAAAATTATATGAATTTATGTATCCAAATGTATTTCACTAGTTAAATACAAAATTAACTTACAAACTGTCTGAAGTCGGCCCGTCCCCTGATGCCGTTCTCGGTCGAGTTGAAGTAACAGGTAGCATAGCGATAGTTGTTAGGGTTCTGCGAAAGACTCATGAACAACTGCCCGCTGGCGGTGAATTGATCTGTACAGAGAAAAAAATGTTACGTTACATAATGTATATACCTTTTATGATATAAGTAATCATCCGCAAATGTACTGTTATTTCCTAGATCTAAGATATTTTTTTTTAATACGTACTTTGTGTGTTTCCATTATTTGCTCCCGGTAAATTTGCTCCAATCACATTTCCAGGAATAAAAGGGTTTCCAAATCGATTTCCAACTGTTCCAAATCCTCCGATAGCGTTTGGCTGAAATCCTCCAAGCCCAGGTCTATTTACCTGTGGAACGTTTTGTTGTCCTTGGGGAGGAAAACCACCTTGATTTTGTGGCGGAAAACCTCCTTGGTTCTGTGGGGGAAATCCTCCTTGATTTGGCGGGAATCCTCCTTGATTCTGAGGCGGAAAACCCTGGTTTTGGTTCGGAAATCCGCCGGGTTGTTGACCAGCTTGAGGGAAGCCTGCACCCTGATTTCCTGCTTGCTGACCCTGTGGAGGAAATCCACCTGGTTGCTGGCCTTGTTGCGGAAACCCACCAGGTTGCTGCTGCCCACCTTGCGGAGGAAAATTACCTCCTTGTTGACCCTGTGTCGGAAAGCCGCCAGGCTGTGCGCCCGTGTTCGGAAATCCTCCTTGAGTAGGAGGTTGAAATCCCCCTCCCTGATTTTGTGGTCCAAAATTTTGGGGAAAACCGCCTGGTTGTTGTGGTGTTCCTTGTTGATTAAAATTATTAAACTGAGCAAAACTTATTCCCAAACACAAAGTTAACACGGTCAATGAAGTTAGTTTCCGCATGATTTCTTATAGCTTTTAAACTTTGTTTGATGTGTGTACTCTTCGATGGTAAATTTACTTATGACCAAAAATATGTGTACACCAGTTATATTCTATCCATCAAATGACGTAGAAAAAATTGACACATGCAAGCTAGTGAATGACTTCCGTTTTTGGCTGACCCCCCGGGGATAAATGAGTAATGGCTAGATTATATTACGGGTATCGACGACGGAGAGACGCAATGTATTTTTGTCCACAGCACGTCAAAGCAATGCATTACGAGGTGGGACACACACACCCTTAACACTCTCATGTGTGACGTCTCATGTTTTGGTACGTCACTAGATGTAACATTGCATATTGGAATTTAGAACAAAATGGGAATATGAAACACCCCCATGTTTCACCCAGAAAAACTAATGCAGAATTATTTTCCCTTTATTATTACTTAGAAGGGGGTGGGGGTTGCCGAACTGACAATTGTCAGTTTTCGCACTTTATTATTCAATATTTGTATTACTAATTTTCGAATTTTTATGCCCCCGTAATCGAAGATTCGGGGGAATATAGTTTTTTTCGTGTACTTGTACTGTAAAGGAAATTGGTGAACAGTGGTGAACCAGGCGTTCAAAAGGTTCAGGTTGATAAAAAATTGTATTCTGGTTATTGAAATTTATGAAATTATGATAAACAAAACTTATTTAAAGAAAAAAATTCTCGGAAAAATTACCCCATTATTTATGTGACAATTTGCGGGCTTCGAACGCTAGTAATAAAAATCCTGAGTACCAGTTTCCTTTGAGACCAACATTTTATGATTTATGACTTAGTTGGGGGCTCTGTTTTTGGACATATAGGTTTTAAATACCATCGCAGATTTTATTTCATCATTAATCATCATTTTAAAAGATGGATATAATTAAAAATAATGTATAATGTATTTATTCCACTGAAGTAAACATTAGTAATGTGTGTTCATTATTTTTTCTTCTTAAAAAGGAGGGGGGGGGGGTAGTGCCACTATATCATATATTGAGAATGAAATAAGAAAATTCAATATTTAGGCCTTTGTGGAAAGAAAAATCCAAGATTTTGTGCTGGTTTCTTATCTATTGTGTGCATCTGAAACGGGGATACAAATGTTCATGCATGTGGAGACCATGACTTGTTGAACTGCCTTGTTTATTATTGGACTAGTCCATTTATGTAGTAAATAACTGTGGGATCGGGAAACAAATTAGAAAAAAAAAAGTTTCATTAGTGTTGCTTGTTCATATACTGATATATACGATATGTTACTTAAACATTTAAAAGAATGAGATAAATTTTGTAGATAGAATTTCTGAAGTATTAGAAGGAGGTTAAAAGGACAAACTTTATTTAATTCCATAGAAGTTACTGTTAACACACCCATTCACACAATAGAACAATCCAAGGAAAAGACATGAGGCTTAAGTACTAAGTGACATTTGGCGCGAAAAGAGCGATTCACCCCTTTCTTAGAATATAAATGGACTGATTCAGTAGTATGGAAATGCAAGAAAAAGGATACACGTACATGTTGAAACGGTGAATCACATGGAATAATTGTTCCATGGAAAAAGATTAGAGGAAGTAAACACTATAGTATTTTGCATCAGTAATATCATTCTTTTTTCTGAAAACTGTTTCTTTTAAAATGCAGGTAAAGAATTCCAATGTAAATCAGCTTGCACAAAATCTAGCTCTCTAGGTATGATCTATTAGTTATTTCGGATCTTGCAAATATCAATCCTTATACAGCCTGACGCCATGACGTCAGGCAACAGGAGGCCCATGGGCCACATTGCTCACCTGGGCTAGGAAAAAGTAGAAATTGGTTTATTATTGAAAAGTTGAAATCCAAAAGTAAACCTTTGAACTGTTAAGGTTTTGCTTTTCTTGAGAAGATGATTTTTAAAGAATTTTCCTATATATTTCTATGTAAAACTTTGGTCGGCCATTGTGGCCCTGCCCTACCCCCGGGGGTCATGATTTGAACAAACTTGAATCGACACTACCTGAAGATGCTTCCATATAAATATGATCAATCATGGCTTTGTTATTCTTGAGAAGAAGATTTTTAAAGAATTTTCCTACATATTTCTATGTAAAACTTTGGTTGGCCATTGTGGCCCTGTCCTACCCCCAGGGGTCATGATTTGAACAAACTTGAATCGACACTACCTGAGGATGCTTCCATATAAATATGATCAATCATGGCTTTGTTATTCTTGAGAAGAAGATTTTTAAAGAATTTTCCTACATATTTCTATGTAAAACTTTGGTCGGCCATTGTGGCCCCGCCCTACCCCCGGGGGTCATGATTTGAACAAACTTGAATCTACACTACCTGAGGATGCTTCCGTATAAATATGAACAATCATGGCTTTGTTATTCTTGAGAAGAAGATTTTTAAAGAATTTTCCTTTATATTTCTATGTAAAACTTTGGTTGGCCATTGTGGCCCCGCCTTATCCCCAGGGGTCATGATTTGAACAAACTTGAATCTACACTACCTGAGGATGCTTCCCCATAAGTTTCATCTTTCCTGGCACAGTGGTGCTTGAGAAGTTTTTTAAAACATACCACCAAATTTTCATTAATTCCCAATTATCTCCCCTTGAATGAGGGTGTGGCCCTTCATTTGTACAAACTTGAATCCCCTTCACCTAAGGATGCTTTGTGGCAAGTTTGGTTGAAATTTGCCCAGCGGTTCTTGAGAAGAAGTCGAAAATGTGAAAAGTTTACAGACAGACAGACAGACAGATGGACGCCAGACAAAATGTGATCAGAAAAGCTCACTTGAGCCTTCGGCTCAGGTGAGCTAATAAAAGAGTGAATAAATGCAGATGTTTTTTAAAATTTTTTTTATTAAAATCGTAATACCCATTTCATTAAACATATAAAGGAACATGCAAATGCATACAATTATTATAAACAAATACTTCAAGTTGTAGAAAGACACATGGTTTATGGTGTAAAGAAAAATACCTTTCAACAGAAAACATAAATGAAATTCATGTACATGTATAATATTAGGACTTGAAAATAAAGCTACAATTAGGGAAAAAAGTAGTAATAAAATCGAAACATTTTTAAGGTGAACAAAATATCTAAATACTGAGGGAGATTCTTGCACCAAACAGATCAATTTGACAAAACAAGAATATATTTAAATATTTTCAATTTAATAAAATTATCTACAGTTGGGTGAAAAAATTCATGAAGTGAAATACTTAAAAAAAAATTTGCATTTTCATCTTTTCTCAAATTGCATTAGCAAGTCAATCTTTCTCAGAGTCCATAAGCACTGGTTTTATTCAAAGTCAATCTTTTGGATGGAGAAAAAAGTATGGGATATTTGAAGTTTTAAGACATTGAGGCAAAAATATACATAAAAGAGGAAGTAGCTGGGATTACCAACTAACTTTGACATATCCATGATGTTCAAGATACCAAAGTTTCTAAGTACATGAGAGGTTGATATGTACATTATACAATAAAATTTACAGTTTTCTCTTTGATAAAATGATATAATAATTTTATGAACTCTCACATACATAATAGATCAATAAAATACATGGTATTTTTATTTTACATACATGTATGTAAACTGCAATGGCCATGCAGTGCTCTCAACCACTGTGAAAATTCCTAAAGACAACAAAATATCAAAACAAGACGCTTTGTCCTTAAACACAAATCAGCTCTGACACCAATTTTTTTTCCCCAAATTTGCCCTTATACATGTACTAGTAGCTGCAGACATGTATATGCATAGATATTTTAAAAATATTAAATAAAGCATTAATCAAATAACAGTTTGTATGTCAGAACTGGTACAATACTGTTCATGTACTTCTCTTCTCTAAATTCAAAGTCTTTCCTGAATAATCTTGTACTTTTACATATAAAATAATTATATGGGGCTTATTTAATAAATAAATTAGATGGGGCTTTATCACTTTTGCTATGAATTATCGGACAGCATCTTATTTAATTTCTTATATAAGAACTGACTGTATAAACTTTGTAAAATTAAAAATGCCACTAAATGAGTAGATGTTCATGTTAAGTATTAATCACAGCATTTTCTTCAGAAAACAAACTGTGAATAATCATCCAAATTTTTTTCTTCTTCTATATAAAAACTGGAATTCTTTTTTCCACTAAAGTCAGGCAGCTGCTTTCTTCTTTTCCTTCTGCTTTGCCAGTTCATCAACAAATGGGGATTCATAATACATTTCCATTGGTGGACACGTGCACACTAAGTTCTGATCGCCGTAAATGTCATCGATGCGGCTCACCGTGGGCCAGAACTTTGTAGTGGCCGTCACAAAGGGCTGAAAGAGAGGAACCATAGATACTAAACAGCTAGGATAAAGACTGTAAAATGTGTTTCAACTAATTTCATACAGACAGTAGACATTTCAGGGGATAACATATATTTACCATGTAGGTTAACTTTTTTGACAAAATGATACAGTTCAACATAAAGTATTGGTTAGAAATTACTTACAGCTGGAAAGACAGCCACTTCTCTGGAATATGGACGATCCCAATGAGAGGACATGACTTCAGCTTGTGTATGAGGGGCCATCTGAAAGAATAAAGTTCAGAGAAACAATACAAAATATATGTGAAAGAATGGAAAAAGTACAGCATAAAACTACCAAATTACTTTTTGATACCCTTTCATTTTTTTTAGACACAGTGCCATAAAATGTCAGATGTTCTTATGTTTACAACTGTGATCAGATTCAATTCTAAATCTGATAATTTTTTTTAAATCCCACCATTTAAACATCCTCTAAGCAATACCTTAATTGGATTCATCTTAGAATCATATCTTCCTTCTTCAATATCTTTTATTTCCTGTCTAATAGCTGTAAGACACGAAAACAGCATTTTAATAAGGAGTAACATAAACACCGGTTTTCGAAAAAAATCTTTATTACAATCTTAAGTTCAAATATCAAGTTTTGTTCAAAAATCAATTAATCACAGGTTACCCCTTGCAAATTCAGTTCAAACAGAGAAATTTTATTGAAATAAAGAACAAAATTAACAAATGATGAAGGAATAAACTTGCATTACCAATTAAGGCATCACAGAATCTGTCCAGTTCATCTTTGTCCTCTGACTCCGTGGGTTCCACCATCAAGGTTCCCACGACAGGCCACGAGGTGGTGGGGGAGTGGAAACCTGTCCAACACAAAAAGAGTTTGACAATTAAAATTATATTCTTAAACTACCAACAAAAAAAGAAAAGTCTTTGTTATACATGTATGTCTAAAAAATAATTTTAAATCCTCTAAACCAGAGAATGTTTTTTTTTTTTGTTGAAACATGTGCATGAAGAAATTAAAAGAACAGCTTAATTTATGCAAAATTCCAGGTGGCTAAAAATCAATCTGCAAATCTTGATTTTTAGCTCTACTGGTCAGAGACCAGAAGAGCTTATGCGATAGTAATGCGTCCGGCGTCCGTCCGTCTGTCTGTCTGTCCATCTGTCTGTAAACAATTTTTCAAAATGCTACTCCTCCTACAGTTTTGGTCTAATTTCAATATAACTTGGCACACAAGTAGACTACACTAAGATACATAACGATGAACGGTGTTGCCGTGGTTACTAAAAATAGAAATTTCTGTGAAATTCTTTCAAAATGCTACTCCTCCTACAGTTTTGGTCTGATTTCAGTATAACTTGGCACACAAGTAGACTGCACTAAGATACACAATTCTGTGTATCGGTTTTTGATTTCGATGAACGATGTTGCCGTGGTTACTAAAAATAGAAATTTCTGTGAAATTCTTTCAAAATGCTACTCCTCCTACAGTTTTGGTCTGATTTCAGTATAACTTGGCACACTAAAACTAAGATACATAATTCTGTGTATCGGTTTTTGATTTCGATGAACGGTGTTGCCGTGGTTACTAAAAATAGAAATTTCTGTGAAATTCTTTCAAAATGCTTAGTTTTGTCTGATTTCAGTATAACTTGGCACACAAGTAGAATACATTAAGAACATAATTCTGTTTATCAGTTTTTGATTTCGAAACGGTGTTGCCGTGGTTACTAAAAATAGAAATTTCTGTGAAATTCTTTCAAAATGCTACTCCTTCAAAGTCTGATTTCAATATAACTTGGCACACAAGTTGACTACAATAAGATACATAATTCTGTATATCGGTTTTTGATTTCGATGATTGGTGTTGCCGTGGTTACTAAAAATAGAAATTTCTGTGAAATTCTTTCAAAATGCTACTCCAAATACAATTTTAGTCTGATTATAATATAAATATGGCATGCAAGTAGACTGCACTAAGAACATAAAGAGACTTAATCGAGGATCATTATTCTATTTATTGCTGTTGAAAAGTTTCAATTTAACTGAAGTACTTTTCTCTTCCTTTGCATAATGCTAAATATTTTTACATGGTATTGAAAGTATACTCTGAGTTATAAGTAGTTGTTTTAACTTAACATAATGTTAAATATTTCATAATTTCGAAGTGCAGGAAAAGGACAACAACTTACCATAATCCTGAAGTCTTTTAGCAATATCCATCACCTCAATGCCGGCAGTTTTCTTGAAATCCCTGCAGTCAATGATGAACTCATGGGCAACACAACCTGTGAAATCAATATACATGTTACTAGTAGATCCCAGTCACTTGAACAGTCTTCACTCATGTAAAACTGAAAAAAATTACAAAGAAAATAAGTCTGTCTATATATTTTACACACTTTTTTTTTGTTTTAAGAGAGGAAAAAAATTGTTCAATGCCGACTTTAAATAATTTTACTTTAAAATTTGTAACATATACAGACCTTCTTCATTCTTATATAAAGTCTTGTAATATCCATCCAATCGTTTGCTCATATAGTTAGCATTCAGTATAGCAATTTCTGAGGCATGCCTTAAGCCCTTGGCACCCATCATTTTAATATATCCCCAAGAGATGGGCAGAATGGCACTGGATCCAAAAGGAGCTGCCGACACGACACCAAATGATTTGGCTTCTGGTCCGGTGGTGCCATAGGGTGGGATGACTGGGTGGGTGGGGAGGTAGGGGGCCAAATGCTTCTTCCTGTAAAAATAACAAAGGCTTATAAATGTATGACCTTTGACCTAATAACAAAGGTTTACACATGTATGACCTTTTGACCTCAATATCATATGCATTTTCCAGTATTTCACATCACAGACTGAAGGAAATGTTTTTAACTTTACAAATTTTATGCTACTTCAAATTATCACATAATTATGACCATTGATAATGCATGAAATATACAAAATACATGTACATGTATGTTAAATGCTAAATATGTGTGCATGTACCTGAAGAAAATGTGCAATACACAGTACCTAAGAAAAATTCATGTTACAGTTTTGAAAATATTTGGTCCTTACACTCCGATAGGTCCCATCCCTGGGCCTCCCCCTCCGTGTGGAATGCAGAATGTTTTGTGGAGATTCAAATGGGAGACATCAGAGCCGTAGTCAGCTGGTCGACACACTCCTACCTATGAAGTATGAAGATAAGTTAATCAAGCTAACAAGTCAATTGGAAAAGTACAGGATGGTAACATACATGAACCTCTAAAATATCAGAGGTGGGATCAGGTGTCTTAATGTGGATTATTGAAACAAATGGTATAATGCAGAAACTCTTTCATTTATGAGCTGTATTTTCTTGTTCAACTCATTAGCTTTTATTTCATAGTTTTATAAGTGTTATGTTAAAAAGAATCTTTAATTTATACATTTGACAATATTATGTCTGACACTTAAAATTATTACCTGAGCATTCATATTGGCACCATCAAGGTACACTTGACCTCCATGACTGTGAATGAGATCACATATCTCCCTGCAAAGAGTATTTCACATTAATTTGGCCAAAAATGTAGAAAAATCTCAAAATAATTTTAGCCAAAAACTGATTCAGGAAATCACAACATAATCTGTTCCTGATTTTACCTGACTTCTTTATCAAAGACACCATTCGTTGACGGATAAGTTATCATCAGACAGGCTAAGGTATCCTTGTACTTCTCACACTGGGAAAAATAAAATAAAAATCTAACTCAAACTTCTGACATAAGAAAACTGTCAAGAAAAAATCTTTGAGTACATTTAACAATATATTTCATTATTACTATTTGGTGAGAAGTAAAATCACACAGAAACACCTGCTTTGAGTATGATTATGGAAGTTTTAATTTTTATGGGGGAAAAACCCATTTATCTATTGATAATTACAAAATTAATCATTGTTATAACTTACCATTGCACGTAAATGTCTCATGTCGATTGCACCATTTTTATCTACGTTAATTGGCTGAATTTTCATGCCTGCCATCTGGGCACTAGCTGGGTTAGTTCCATGAGCAGATGTTGGAATCAGGCAAACCTAAAATATTGCATTTAAAAATGAAACTGTGATAAAAATGTTAAAGTTTAAACAATTTATTTTTCGACTCCCATCCCCCATACAATCCCTCTCTCTCTCTCTCTCTCTCTCTCTGAAATTTTTAGTGATTTTGCCTTCATTACTTACAGTTCTTTGATCATCCCCTTTTGCATGGAGGTAGGCCATGATAGCTCTGAGACCAGCATACTCTCCCTGAGCTCCGCTAAAAAGGCAAAAAAAAATTCCTCAGAAAAAAAGAAATACAAAAATCCTAAAGACTTTAAAATATATCAAGAAATGACCATATCAAGAATTTATCACTATCAGCATACTGAATGATGTTGTCTAGTAATTCAATGCACTTTTTTAATGGAAATCTGTAAGCCTTACCTATTGGGTTGGAATGAGATTTTGTCATAACCCGTTATCTCACACAAATCTCTCTCTAGCTCCTCAAACATCTGTTTGTAACCTAGGGTCTGCTCCAGGGGAACAAATGGGTGGATGTTGGCAAACTCCTTCCAGGAGCAGGGCTGAAATATTAAATTAAAACCTTAAAAGATTATAATAAAAATTTAATTTTTAAGTACATGTAATTATCAAGTTTTTCTCTTTCCAAATGAATTTTGAAATCTGCATGCAGTGAAAAAAAGTCTGCAAAGAAACTCGGCTGCAAATTTTTAAATAAAAGTCTCACCATCATTTCTGTTGTGCTGTTCAGCTTCATGGTACATGACCCCAGAGGAATCATTGAGTGAACTAATGATAGGTCTTTGTTTTCAAGGTGCTTCATGTAGCGCACTATGTTAGTTTCTGAATGGTATCTGAAACAATTAAGAAATTGGATTAAATTTGTGAATCAGGCACTATACTGAATAAAAAATTTTGCTAATAATATCTTATGATTTCAATGCACAAGTAATGTTCACATTCCTTAACATTTCCTTATATTCAACAATGAAATGTTCAGCAAAATTATATGAATCATATAATGTTCATAGTTAAAAAAGTGCCAGTAAATGTCTTTGAAAAGTATCAATTAATTCCTTATTATACATGAACTATAGGCTTTTCATTCTCATAAATAATCTTCTACCCTAAAAGAAAAATTTAAGTTATGTTCATTCATGTATATTTTTCTATCTGATACCAAGATATCTTTTACTATATACACTCTACATGCATGCAAACAGAGATTTTTCATATCTTGTGATATTTTTTTTTAATTCTATCACATGTCAATAACAGTGGCCATATGTTTTTTATAGTGGCATTCAATGATTGTGTTTCTCTGTTACTCCTATTTGCTATATCATATTATTAAGTTGCACTCATTTTAATTTCTTCAGTACGTTCCCTAATCTCTGCTAGTAAATGACACTCATCCTATAACAATTACATATTTATTATATATAAACAAATGTCCTGTTCATTGACTGTACTGACTTGTTAAACACGGGGTGAGACAGGAAGTCCGACGTTCTCCTGAAGCCAGTTTCCTCGATACTGGTGGCAGGATGTGGTCCAAGTTCCTCCGCGATAGCTTCCTGTTTGTGAATCAATTATTGATAGTTATATCGACCACAAGTCATCTTTATGATTACACAAGATAATCATAATATGATTATCTACCTCCGTATCCCATTGTTCAGAAATCATTCAACTTGCATTGTGTTGAAAGATTGTACAATGAGGCTACAATCTGTTTTTAGATTAATGAAATGAAAAAAAAAATAATTTTACTTGACTAAACGGTAACGCAAAAAATTCAAATTATGATACAGTCTTCTCTCTATAGATTTTCTGCTCATTTTTCCAAAACATTTTTATAACCAACCCTACCATAAATTGAAATACCAAAATAATATTTTTTCCTTTTAAATATTCCAATAAGTACCAATTTACTGTAATTGCAAATCTTTTAAAAAGTTAACATACCATAGTTGTGTTACAACCAACAATGGTCAATAGTTCTCTCAAATCTTCTCTCTCTACTGTTTCATCCAGAGATATTGCAATCTACAAAGTTACATGTACATCATCTTAAATATATTCATCTCCAAAACACAGTGTTTTGAAAATGTTGCTCTCAATAATAATTCTATGCACTCTGTTCCTGTGTTATAAACAAGAAATACTTACACTGCCATCTAAGTAATATCTGAGATTTATCTTGTGTTTGTTGGCCCGGTGGATAATTTCACTCTGGCCATTTTTCGGCACAAATTTAATGGTATCAAAGAAATTCTTTGTCTTTAAGTCGTGGCCAGCCTTTTTCACACCTAAAATAGAATGTAATCTTTAAGTTTCCAGTCATGCCCCCATTTTTGTTTATTTAGTGAATTCCAGTAGAATTACTGGTCTAACCTTCTGCCAGGATGAGTGTGGCATTGTGAACTCTCCTGCCGATATGTTTTAGTCCTTGTCGGCCATGATACACAGCATACATGGCAGACATGTTTGCCAAGAGAGCCTTAAAGACATTTTTTTTAAATTACCATTTGAAATACATGTATAAACCAGTCAATAAATTGAAAAATTCTCTGATATGTCAGGTCATGTACATTAATTGTTACTATATCTACAAATGTAAACTTTCTCTAGAGCTTGGCTCACCTGGGCAGTACAGATGTTACTGGTGGCCTTGTCTCTTCTGATGTGTTGCTCACGAGTCTGTAAAGCTAACCTGAGGGCTTCTTTATTGTTGGCATCTCTGTAACCAAGTTAGAAATTCGATAGTAATTAGACTAGCTGACACAGTATGCAGAAATAGCTTTGATTACAGTTGCCACCTTCAAATAATTGGGCTGAAAGGTTTAAATGAAACTTTTACATTCAAGGTATGACCTTGAAACTTTTCCCAGCTTAATTGTAACATGAGGTCTTGCCATACCTGGTCACACCAATCATCCTTCCTGGCATCAGTCTGAGAAATTCATTCTTGGTGGAGAAGAACCCCGCGTGAGGGCCTCCATATCCCATGGGAATTCCAAATCGTTGGCTGGATCCCACAGCAATATCAACTCCAATCTCCCCTGGGGGACGCAGCATTGTCAGGGCTAAAAGGTCAGTAGCACAGGTCACTAAGGTCTGAATATAAAAGGTACAAAGAGTTTAAAATATATCTTATTCATATCAATGAAATACAAAGAAGAGGTTATAATTGTTCTCTCCATGACAAAGAGTTTTATTCAAATAAATCAGGCATTCAACTATAAAAACACTGCAAGAGATCTTTAAATTTTTACAATAAATAAGTCATTAGTGCACAAAAATGAACAAAAATTACACAAAAGTGCATTCGAATAGCTTGAATAATCATACAATTTTCAAATTCTAATGATCACAACTCACTCCATTTGCGTGAGCGTTGTCCACTAGCTCCATGTAGTCGTGGACATGTCCGTCTGTGTCTGGATACTGGATCAGGATTCCAGAGATGTCTCTGTTAGACATATCCATCTCCTTCCAGTCCAGCCGGAGCACTTCAATCCCCAGCGCACTGAAATTATAACAGGGCCGTAATCACCGTGTCTGGTTTATACAGAATTCAAAAGAAACTGCACTCTTCAAGTCTACTTTCATTAGGGGAATATACATATAGATTTAATTACAGCATATCAAATTTGGGTGGATGTTTGAAAACTGTAACCCATAGGGTACCCATAGCTATTCATAAAATCAATAATTTAGAGAACAGTTTTATCTATCATTACATGTACATGTAATACTATATATTGTTTTACTTGAGCATCCATATAGGATTTTCTGCTACTGTCCATCACCTAATCATGTAGAAAAGTGACATTATACACCACCTTAATATTTTATTCTTTAAACTTTCTATTTTTAAAATCAAAATTTTGTGTAGACCTATCCCTTGTTTTGATTACATTGACAGCCTCAACTTATTTCCAGCTTTTGATAGGAACATTAAGTTGGTCACTTTTTCTGATATTCAAACTCAAATTAAAAATGTGTTTTAAAAAAATATGGTAAACACTAAGATCATGGGCAACCACATACATGTACACTAAGAATGAAATGTGTACTGAATGTGTAACTGTACTACATAACAATACCTGGCTCTTGTTTCTACAACACCAATAGTCTGGGGATGGCAGTGTTTATCAATGTAAAACTTCCGTCTCTTGTTGTGTCTGAATTTAAAAAAAACAAACAAACAATTTAAGCAGTTGAACGGTGGTACAAGTAATAAAATTCTCAGCTGTTGTTCGCATAAATTTGTTATAAAATTACAGGTAGCTATAACTGAAGCAATGAAAGCTTTATTTAAAAAAAATAGGGAATCGAATACTAAAATCGGTACTCGGTTACTCGGATGTATATTTTTGAATATTTTTAAGCTTATTTATTAATGCATTTAAAAATCTGTTTTAAAACTTAAAATTCTCATTGTACTTGTACCTACTACTTGTAGTTGTACCTACAGTAATTAGGGTTTCCTACTCCTCTAAATGACCGTTATCGCCTGTGGCAGTGTTTATACAGTAATTTCGTGACCAAGCACCTGTTACCTGGCTTTTCTCACCTTCGGCTGTCTTCTACCTGTATTTTTTGATTTACTTAAATTATTTTTTTTCACTGAACATCGTTTAAGGCCTGTTTTGATTAAATAAATTAGATGATTTTGTCAATTCTCAGAGAAGCCGTAAATTCTCGGGAAGAGAGACAGATGATATTACACGTGCGATTGTCGATATGGTTGTGTTTGATTACATGCCAATAAATGTACAAATGGTTGAAGGCAAAGGCTTTGAAAAACTGATGTCCATCATTGCATCAAACTACAAAATACCGTCCCTTAATACTATAAAATCTTGGATTGAAAAGTTTACGAAAATCGTGAATCCGCTCTGTTTGAAGTTGGTCAAGTTCAAGTCAAACTGTATACGACTGCACATGATACCTGGATGTCAAATGCAACAAAGAGTTACATTACAATTACGGAGCAGATTATTTATTTTTAAACAAAAACACCATGAACCACTTTGATACAAAATCATTGTTACAACAGAAATGCATTTACGGGTAAACCTCCTCTCAGAGCATGTGGTTTTATTTCTACAAGAGTTTACAATGTTTTACATTCATCAATTTACTTGTTCTTATTTATTTCATCATTGTTACAACAGAAATGCATTTACGGGTAAACCTCCTATCAGAGCATGTGGTTTTATTTCTACAAGAGTTTACAATGTTTTACATTCATCAATTTACTTGTTCTTATTTATTTACACTTTTACCGAGTACCCGGGTACTCGATCGGAAAAACGTCCGAGTAACCGAGTATTAAAAATTGACCGATTTGACATCCCTAAAAAAAAACGAACAATTTAAGCAGTTGAACGCTAGTACAAGTAATAAACTTCTCAGCTGTTGTTAGCATAAATTTGTAATAAAATTACAGGTAGCTATAACTGAAGCAATAAATGCTTTATCTAAAAAAAAAACAAGATGTGTTTGTGAAACAATGATGCCCCTTTATGGCAACATAGCAAAGATTAAACTTTTCTTAAATGCAAATTTAATTAATTGGTACCAAAAGTAGGGTGTTCTCACTGGAAAAACAACTGTGAAATTTGAAAGTACACCAATGCTTAAGTTTTTTCAATAAGTACAAAAATCTCCAAGGTCAAGCTCAAAAGGTCAAGGTAATTGGTATCCAATGAAAGGTCTTGCCAGATAGAATACTTATGTAGAATATGGAAGCCCTAGCTCTAACTGTTCAGAAGTTATGGCCAAGGTTAAATTTTTTTTAAAGTAGGTCAAACTCCAAGGTCAAGGTCAAAGGGTCAAAGTTCTTGTTATCAAATGGAAGGTCTTGTCACAAGTATTAAATATGTTAAGTATGAAAGCACTAGCCCTAACCCTTTAAAAGTTATGGTTGAGGTTAGGTAAAGCAAAAAGGTCAAGGTCAAAGGGTCAAAGTTCTTGTTATCCATGATCTTCTCACAAGGATTACATATATGAAGTATGAAAGCCCTATCCCTTATGGTTCAAAAGTTATGGCCAAGGATAAAGTTTTTTCACAAGTACGGAAATTTACAAGGTCAAGGTCAAAGGGTCAAGGTTGTTAGTATCCAATGAAAGGTCTTTCAACAAAGAATACATCTGTGAAGTATAAATGTTCTGGTATCTACTGTTCAAAAGTTATGGCCAAAGTAAAAGTTTAAAATCTTCATGTAAAAGTGGGTCAAACTCCACGGTCAAGGTCAAAAGGTCAAATTTGGTGGTACGCAAAGAAAGTCTTGTCACAAGGAATACGAATGTGAAATATGAAAGTCATGGTTCCACTAAATCAAAAGTTATGGGAAAGGTTAAAGTTTTTGTGGACAAACAGACAGAAAGAGAGACAGACAGAGAGACAGCTAGATGGATGGATGCAAACGACAAAAACTATATACCCCTGAAACTTCGTTTACGGGGGCATAAAAATGATTGAAACAGTTCAACAGTGGTATAAGTAATAAAATTCTCAGCTGTTGCTAGCATAAATTTGTAAATGAATTACAGGTAGCTATAAATGAAGCAATAAATGCTGTCAAGTATAAAATAGAATTCTGTATCATGATCTCTGTATCATGATCAAAGCAGCATTTTTTTCACTTGGAGAAAAAAATCTATCTAAAACAATATTACAAAAAAAAAAAATAAAAATCGGTAAAACAAATTGTGACTAGAATCACAAATCAAAATTGTGTGTCTCTGGCACCCCTTTGTTTTACTGTACTTAACTTTTAATATTTATCGTCTCAAAGAACATTGTATAAAAGTTCAATGTCTATATGTTCAAGAAGTATGTTTTGACTTTTGTGCACTAGTTCTCTAAGTGACCTAGAATGTGTCGAGGTAACATGTATTTCTATGGACTAAATAATGCCTGAATTAATCTGCATTGAAAGGTAGACCAGTTCACAAAAAGTTCATCAGCAACCTCTGACTTACATAAGTTTGTGTTTCAATACATTTGTGTTATGTTTAGTAAGACAAGTGCATTTGGAGTGTGTAATTGATGCTAGCAGAAGCTTAGGTGACCCTTGAGTGACTGACTATGTCATTGTCATAACGCTTTTTTTAATCTATGGCCTTGAAAAGGATATATATATAAATATAATAAATTTGGCTTATCCTTCTAGCATGGAAAGGTATTTGAAGTGTCTTGTTTTGGAGGTTTATATAGCTACTTGCCGTGACACCTCATTTTTGCATTAATACATGTGGAGTTTAATAATGTCAGAGACAAAATTTGTATGAATCCTCATGGTTTTTGCTGTATATATTCTATGCATATAAAATATATGACAGAATAAAATTCTTGGAAACAGAGAGTTTATATGCATAATTATGTAAAAATTAAGTTCTCATGAATAAATAATGATTTCCAGTTATAAGAACTTTAAAAAATATGCCTTTTAGTGCAAATGTAACACCATGGCAAATGAAAAGTAAGTTGTTGTTTTTTTCCACTGTAATGGCCAAAAGTATTAATGATTCATTGATATGTGACTTAAAAAAAAAGTGTAAACGGATATGACAAATACATTTTGTACATGTTCACTGAAAGCCACCAAATTACATGTACATTAACTAAAAACAAAACACTTTACAATAGCATAAAGAACCTCAGTGTGATCTACTTAATATACACATGTACATGCATTATATATCAATGGCATTAAAACTTCAAGTCATAAGCATTATTAACAGTCAACACTCCACCCTCTGAAAAGGAAATTTTCTACATTTATAATGATACTTTTTAAAGATGACCTATAATTGTAACATAACTTTACCCTGACCTGTACAACTGTAATATTATTTTGCCCTGTCAGACTTGTACAGTTAATTCTCGATAAACCGCCACCTTTTGTAATTTAGAAATCATGGCGGTATAACGAATTTGGCGATGAATTGAATTTTCCATCTTCTGGAAAACAAGAAGTAGAGTTACCGTTCTTAGAAATACCATAAAGCGTTTCTATTCTTTTTATTACATGTAAATAAATATAAAATCATATTTCTGATTGAAAATACTTCAAGTAATTTTTTAATGTACAAATTCGCTAAAACAAAATGTGCAGTTATGAAATAAATACAAGTACATGGGTGTGCATTTAAATCTGCAGTTCTGCCATTGAAAAAAAAAACATGCTGGGTCGATTGTCGTGATATATTGCCGATAGTAAGGAAAATGAATTCTTGAATAAATTTATTGTTTATGGCAACATTGTTAATTAAACATTCACAATTTATACCGTATAATTAAGCAAACTTTGCAATGTTTGAAGCAGAGATCATCTAAATTATGTAGTTATCGGCGTACTTTAACAACGACCGCTTTCGTGGCAAAGCCGTGACTAATTAAATGATTTTAATTAAACAGAAAACAAAAATATTATAACAGTTCATGTTAAAATCTTTGTTTATTTAGTTCTTGTTTAATTACTTAATTGCATGTACCTTGTCTGCCTTGCATGCTTTACAACAGGGATAGTGTCAACCAATTAGCCGCGCTTCACTGACCACACGCACCTGTGGCGGTATATCGAGATAATTGACACTTAAAAATGGACTGAAAACAGGGTGGCGGATGGCGGTATGCGAATTTGGCGTTATAAAGAGAATTTTATATAGCAGGAAAAACGTTCTTGGGAAATCATGGCGGTATTGCGAAAATGGCGATGAATCGAATGGCGATAATTCGAGAATTGACTGTATATTAATTGTGACCTGTAACAAAGCCCAATAGCTACAGGGTATATAAGGTGACCTACAATTGTAACATAATTTCGCCCTGTTCAATAGTAACATAATTTTGCCCTGACCTGTATAATTATAATTTTGCCCTGACCTGTATATTAATTGTAACATAATTTTGCCCTGACCTGTATAATTGTAACATAATTTTGCCCTGACCTGTATAATTGTAACATAATTTCGCCCTGACCAAATTGTAACATAATTTTCCCCTGACCTGTAACAGAGCCCCATAGCCTCAGCAGCAGCAGTAGCCTCGTCAAGTAAGGAGGCGTTAGCGATGGGAAGTCCCGTCATGTCAACCACCATTGTTTGATAATTCAGGAGGCTCTCCAGTCGGCCCTGGGCCAGCTCTGCCTGGTACGGGGTGTACTGAGTGGTCCTGTGTCAATAACAAGGGGGGACTTAATGGTTTACACCTAAACATCTGATTTCTGTCTTGTGTTTAGTGAAAAATGTGTTGATTTTTTATGTGCTCATCAATGTCAGACTAAAAATATTCTGTAATATTAATTTAAAGAAAACAACAAAGAACATAGACTCTACGGGTTTTTTTTCTCCAAAGAACAAGTTGTCCATATAAATAATTTTGAAGATTTAAATCAACAAATTATCAGTATCTAATGATCAAGTCCATAACAGAAAAGTGAAAATATATATAAATTAATATGTGTATGTGAAGTTTTTGTACCATCCAGGGTTTTCAAAAATATTTCTCAGTATTGTGTGTGGGGTATATGTGTTGTAGTAACCAATTCCTATGTAACTCCTCCAAACTTCATTCCTGTCTGCCATTTGTTCCAGCTTTTCAATCAATTCAAGCTCTCCTAATATAAACATAAACAAAATCAGACTTAAGAAAAATATATAAAAATTTTACATAGTGGGACACTGTCAACAATGTTCAATGCCAGAATTCAGTTTCGGTTCAATCAAACATAAATGTTCACTAACGCTGCCAAAGAAATTTGTGTACCAATACATACACATAATATTCAATGTCTTTTGGCACATATTGCAAACCTTTAAATAACTAATCAGATTTGCTTTTCTTTATGCTTTTATGGAAAGTCAACAACAGTTTCATAATCAAAACATTGTTGCTCTTAATTTGTGTGCCCTTGACAGTTTTTGTGTATCCAGAGATCCATATACAAGTGCTCGATCTATATTTGTAAAGCACTTGATCTCATAAAACAGCATTACAATATCTAATGATGTCCAAATGTTACTGCATGCATAAAAAATACAATGATTCAAAAAATAAATGATTGCTTTGAAAAAAACAAAACAAAAAAAAAGCCCAGGCCATTATATTATTTCCTTGTTCTTTCAGCGAGGATTAGTAATACCGAGTTCTGACATAGTGACCATTTGGCCTTTCATTCAAGTTCAACTGCAGTTTTTAATACATGTCCTTAGAACAATGATTATATGTATTACAGTATTAATATTTACTATTAGCTGCAGGTCCGTAGCTCTCCGAAAAAAATATATTGATAGACCGGAGAGCTACAGTGCCACCCATTGAAAAAACTGTATATTTATTGCGCACAAAAAAGTGCGCTCAGTTCTCAATTTATTTCTCCATGTTTTTCAAACTGTAATCTCAAAATATTACCAACCATGTGTTCCTAACATATGCTTTCACTTTTTCCACAACCAAACATTCTTCATAATTGTTGTTAATAGTCCTCCTGACCCTGATATTGTAATCATCGAACATTTTGCTTATTTATACTGCCATTTTGGTTTCAAAGATAATTCGGTCCAATATGCTTCGTTCGGATGTCAACTACGAGAGTACTTGAAAGAAGATAAAGGGATTTTTGAAATCTTTCCTTATTTGCAATTGAGGTAAGAATTTGGAAGAATTTATTAAGAACCGAGCGCACTTTTTTGTGCGCAATAAATATACAGTTTTTAAATGGGTGGCACTGTAGCTCTCTGGTCTATCATTATATTTTTTTCGGAGAGCTACAGATCTGCAGCTAATTTACTATGAGACATCTGTTAGTAATTAACATTTTAGCCCTTTGAAAAACTGCAATCTGGCCATAACTTTATAGCAGTTCAAGCTACAGTGGCTGCAACTAATTGTTGACAAACCAATCGTGTAGAATCGTTTGTGTATCATGCGTGATCGTTCGTGTAACGCGCGAGATCGTGCGTGTATCAGATTCCATCGTTTGCGGTTTTAATCGTGCGTGATCGTTCGTTTAGAAACGTGTATATTTTCGTTTTGTTAACTTTTATCAGAATGTCGTTTGTTAAACAAGCATTTTGTTTGTACTTTTTTATTCCAAATAAAATGATTGACGCGAAATTTACATTAATTGAATGCGGAACGAACTAATTATCGCTTGTAAACAAACAATAAAGTAAGTCGTACAATAAATTATGTTCTTGTCAAATAGCATGACTTATTGTGATAAATCGTACTTAGACGTTTTTTTTTTCTGATGATCATTCTTGCTTACTGCTAATTGTGGTCAAGATATTTTTAAAATTTTCATATAATCATAAATAAATATTTTTACAAATAAATATTATACATTTTTTTCAAAGCTTACATAAATGTTTAGACTGCGAATGTACATGCACACGACATGGTTTTCGGGCTTTTGTTTATCGGTGTTTATCTCTAGAGATAGCTTTTAACTAGAACTGTCCAAATGGGACAAAATACCCCCTGCTGGGTTTTTCAGAAGTAAGTTTATCTATAAGAAAGATATGGGGCCAAAATAAAAAATACCTTTGTTTCCCCTAATGCGACCGACCCAATTAAATTGTGCCGACCAAAAAGATTTTTTAAATAAGATGATTCAAATTTTTTTTTTGTTGTCAACCAAGTTTTATAAAATACAATTTCATCAAAATCAGTTTTTATCAGAACAGCCGACGTTGTTTTACTGTGATTTTCAAGCATTTGTTGGAAACAAAATAGCGTCCAGATTTGATTACAGAGAAGTAGTTCTTCATAAAACAACGGCGATGTCTCAATCTTATGCCTTTAGCTAACTAGAATTCTTCACTCTTGAAACAATTTGATAATAAAATTTACCATGACTAATTAAGAGTGTTTCGGAGATGTCTTGGCGTCTCCATGTGAGTGAATAAATTTTCGAAAGGGACGGTAAACAACGAACAAACAAATCTGTCTGCTGAATTTCAGGCATATATAATACCGGGTACATGGAAAGGCCAGCCTCATGAGCAGATGAGAGGCCCACTTAGTGAACACATCATTCAATTTCTCTGCATTTTATTTAATTTGAGTTTTGATCTAATAAACCCTATGTTTATTATATGCCATTATTGAATCACAGGAGTTGTAAATATGCCTGCATATTCATCCTGATAAACATAATTCAGTTGTACTTTTTCATGCCTTTATTTACGGGTTAAACTTCATGACTATGACATTGTTTTATATAGCATTTTCACGGCCAGGAACACGTTAAGTTTCAAGACAGTACCGTTGTCAGAAACCTTGAAAGTTAAGCAATGAAAATGGCTCGTTGTCATGAATTTACAGGTGAGGTTATGACAAAATCCATCCGGTGTCATTACTTGAGAAGGCAGGTCGTCAGCAGTTTTTCATTTTTTAAGTTAAATAATTTCAACCAATGTCTGAAATTGCAATGGGGAACAGGACTGACACCCCTTTTGGTGTTGTATGAATTTCAGCTGTTAAAATGAAGTAATAAAAGAGGAGTATGCGTTGGCGATATTAAACCCTGGTGAAATCAAAAGTGGGTTTCATTCATTTTCCTTCTGGGATGTTATATTTTGTGTAAAAAGAATATTATATATATACCAATTGATGAAGTCAGTATGAAGACATGTTATAAGCCTTTACAGAAAAAAATTGAACAACTTCAAACTGAAAATTTTGATTTATTATTATTTATGTCCGTTGTCATACCAAGATAGGAAAATTCAGTCCGTTATCACTAGTCCGTTGTCACTACTCTTCTGTACGTATAAACACTATGAAGGAGGTCGATTTTAGTTTTTTTATGCTTTGATAAATTTCAAGCATGCCTTCAATAAATGGGTGAACTGATTAGTCATAAGAAATTAAACGTATGGTATTCTCTAAAGAACGAGTGCACTTATGGGCCCCGGTAAAATGTGAAAAAATAAATAATCAAATTCAGCAAAAAATTTCATTTCAAATTATTAATTGATATTTAAACCATACGATTCAATAATTTTTACCGCTGAAATCCACGAATATACAAAGAACAAAACTATACAATGTGGTAGGGGTCAGCCGACATTGGCGATTTTCTATAGTAAATCGAAAACGGTCATTCATTTCAAAGCCTTTGTTAACTATGAGCCTAACGTTGTGCAAACTTGTGCGAATGACAAAAGACGCACATTACATTTATAAAACTTGTGTGAAAGTATGAAATTTGCACACGATTAGGCTCGTATTTAAAATATTAAAAATGTATAAAAACTAAAAAGTACAATGTTTTTCCTATAGCAAGTGAGAGCTATTTACCTGTATGACCCATGTTGAACCCACGTGTGGAATAAATTATTTAGAATACTGATAGTCACGTGAGTTCTACCCAGGTAAACATTCCTCAAAGCTGCTCACTGTAAAACATAGGCAGGTTTTGTTTTAGTAAGTCAAAGCCCTGTCGCTTAGAGAAGTTTATATAATAATTATATGTATTTGTTTTTAAGAACACGGGAGGGTAAGGACATTTTTAACCTTCATGCAAGACAATTAAACACGTATTGAAAGCCACCTATACCACTCTTTTTCAATTTCAAATTCGATGAAACTATTAATGTTATTTTTCAAATGCAAGAGTACCAATTTCTTAGTTTAATCATTTAGATACAGGCAACTACACAATTTCATTCCATATTTTTAAAAACAGATTTGGCACAAGAAAATATCATTTCGCAAACGCGCCCGACTATGATCCACCATCAGATTGTTCAAGTATTGATTTAAATATCTATTCCTTGATTTACATAAACGAAACTAAAAGAAGGTTCGGTGCGACTTTTCCGGATTTATAGGGTATCCATAGGCCTTTCAAAATATTCAATTGTTTCAAATACATGCTGATTTAAGTGGCGCTTAACATTTTTTTAAATTAGAAATATCCAATAGTATCTAACTATTACCAATAGAGAACCATTTGGTAATATATTTTGAAGTAAAATGGCACATCAAAAGGGCCCAATAAATATTGCTTAAGTGCACTTGTCCTTTCATATAATGTTCAGCTATTGTTTGTCATACATAAAGGTTTTAGCCTTTTTCCTTATAGAAACAAATTTCACAGTGAAGGAAGAAATATGCACGCTAACTCTCGATTCCCGCCTACGTTTTGCACTCATTTTATTCAATATTAATGGCAATTTGGCCATAAAATCGTTTTCATACAAAGAACAGTTCAATGGTAATTGATGAATTGTTTTAATATTGTAGTTAATATTTAGTTTAATATTGCTAGTGAATTATCCCTATTTCCAGCCTCTTAAAAAGGGGCGGGGGGGGGGGATTTAGACGATATTCTCCATTGAAAGATCGCCATATTTTGAAATATTCAATTCAATTTCTTTATTGCAAAAGACGTACGTCTTATAGCATTTAAAATACAATATATAAACAAAGGAAATAATCGAAAATGGCCGGTCAGTCCTTGTAAATCCTTATGTAATGCAATGTTATGTTTCAGTTGTAAATCGATTCGAAATTGGTGAAAAAATAAGCATCTATGCTTCTTATGAGAAATATGAGCCTGATAGTGCAGTAAAAAAAAACGAATACAAATATGCAAGTTTGATGATT